TTTTATCTTCACCTTACAATCCATTATTATCCTTGAAAGTCTATTATTGCTCTCTTTTCCCTCTCAACTCCATCCTGATCCTCATCTTCATCTTTCAACCTTTTACACAAAAAACGAAGCTTAATCATTATTTAAAACAATTAAGTGTGAACTAATTTTTTACATTCAATTCCCAACTGCCGTTTGTATTGTTTCAACCAATTTTCACTTTTCTTATTAACTTTCACTTTTCATTTTCATTTCACTGAACAAAAGATTCAAATTGTATAACAAAACCGTGATCTTGATTATCACCATTTTCATTCCTAATTGTTCCTGAAACTTCAATAATTTTGAGTCTTTTTTTCAAATTTTGCAAATTTTCATTGTCAAACAATTTTGATTCAATTTCACTTCAATGTATTTTTAATGTTGAAGCTAGCTTTGATCAAAACTCTTATTGTTTACAATTAAATGCAAATTGGTAAAGTCAATCAACTGATAATCTCAATACATAATTACCATTCAATAACTAATCAACTTGATATCAAATGATTTTGCTTTTTCACTGAAAATGCGACCAGCAATTGAATTTGATTTTTTAAAATCAACTGTTTATTTTAATCAACTCTGTAAATGCAATTACAAATGATTAATCGAGGCGAAAAGTATACAAAATGTTTAAATGTTTGATTTAAATGCATCAATACAACGTGATGTTTGTTTTTAATCAACACAATTTATTTTCTCATCTCCCTTATAATTGAAAAATAAACAGCACCAATCATCATCACCATCCTCATGATCATCTGTTGAAATGAAGCAAATAAGTGAGAAAGAAACAATTTAACAAAAAGTTTGTAACAAACAGTTGCAATTGAGATTGAAATGGTTGATAGTGAAATGAAAGCAACTGCAATTCATGGTTGATAATACAAAAGCAATTATGATTAGAGTAATGGATGAATCTAAATTAACCCTTAATCGCTTGAATCGATGAATTCCGTGATTCCATTTTCTTGTGTTTCCCTTTCTGATTAGCAAAACAAACCATTGAAAAACAAGAAAACAAAAAGCAGCCAAAGACTGCAATAGATTCAGATAGAGTTCACTCTTCCTTCCTGAAACTTCATCCCCATCATGATCACCTGAATCTTCATTTCTCTTTCTAATTGGCTTAAAAGAGATAACAAAACTTGAATCTGAAAATGTTTATTCTTTTTACAACAATCATCATGATTTGCTGATCAGTATCATTCAGATGATTCGGAAGTTATTCAGTTAACAGCATTTTGCCCTTTCATCTTGTTCATCTTCCCGATGATTATCAGAACTTTTTATTTAATTTATTTTCCAATGAAATAATAAAATTGTTGAAAAGGCCAATTGAATGGTAACAAAAACATTAAAATGAACCTTTATTACCTTTCAGTCAAATCTAGTTGCAATTTAAATTCAACAATTATCTCAACAATAGGCGATCATTTAATAGCGTGAGTTTATTAATCGGACATTTATCTCTACAAATTGTCCTTTAACAGCATTTTCATGAACTTAAAATCAATTCGATTATCACTTTGATTTGCTTTTCATTGAACAAGAGAATGAAGAAAAAAGATATTCAAAAGACTAATCATTATCATGATCATCTTGCTTTAATCATTCATCTTTCCCTTTTACCTTTTATCCGACTAATTATTTAGCTGAAAGTTAATCAAGTTCAAGATTAAATCAGAAAAAAAGAAGAGATTGAATGAAAAAACTGGTGTAAAAGTTGAATGCGTAACCACAGAAGTTGATTTACACAATGGTTAAAAATTGATAAACTAGACCAGAGGTTAATTAAGCTCAAGGGCGAAACTTGGAGGTCTTGATTGCCATTAAGGTAAAAGGTCGATTAGCCATTTTAAAGTAGCACTAAACACAGAAGAAAACAATTAACTAATTGTAATCTAAACCATCAAAGATGAGAGTTAAAGACAAGGTTGAAAGTTGATCAAAATCGCGATCTTTGATGATCAATTACCTTTCCATTGTATTGGGCCACCTTCAAATCAATTAACTTGCACATTCTTCTCGAATCAATGAAAATATTGAAAAAAATGAAAAAAAAACATGAACAAAAAAACGTTTTTTTCCCACTTTACGCTTCCAATTTCATTCTGTGATTCAGTGAAAGCTACAGCTAATTTTATGCTCAATTTGTGAGTCTCAAATTTAGGCTAAACTGCCATGTTAAGCCCACTTGTCCCTCAACTGACCACTCCTTTGGCAAAACTCCCAACAGTAGCTGAATCCTATCAATGGCCAAAGTATCATCAACTTTATAAGCTTCATTTTTAGTGCAATAATAGACTCAATTAAATACGCCTTTCTGCTTATCAAAAGTTTAAACCAATTTTTGTCTTCATTTTTAGCCAAATTAATTGTGACCTGAAATTGACTGACAACTTACCATTCAATTGATTAAGAATTTTGAAAATTTTGATTAATTCAATGCAACAATGATTGAATGGTTAATTGAATGGAAAGATGATTGAAACTCTCTCTGTGTTTAAAACTCATTTGAAATGTAATTTACTTGCATCTTCATCTTGATCCATTCATCATGTCTTTTGACCATAACTTAATCACGTTTCAATTCATTATTTAACCTGAAAATACCAACGCCTTTTCAGGACAATAAAGTTAACCTTAGATGATGACAATAAGAAATGGTCACCTTCACCATCGGGTGTTGATTCACCTTGCAGGGTAATTGTTTAACCAATTTCCAAGGGAATCTGATTGTTGTTTGAATTACATTTTGCTTTCTTAACCTTTTATCTTTCAAAATTTGATTGTTTACATTTGATGATTGGAACCACTGTTTTAACAATTGAATGATACATTAAACTGACAAAGAGATTTCAAAGCAAATCTTAAAGGTAACACTTGCAATACATAATAGTAATTAACTTACCTTGAAATTGTTTAACCATTGAAATGTCCAATTCACAATGACATTACCTTTCTCCTTTTACATTGTTTACCTCAATCTCATTTTAATCATCATCGTCAGCTTCTGTGAAATATTAATATTGTACCTTTGAAAATAGATTGTGACAAAAAGGAAATGCTGATGATTAAAAATTACACGCAATTGTGATTCCTTTTCAACGACACTGGTAAGACGTTTAATTATTTACTATAATTATTAGTCGAACCTATTAGACAGATTTCACCAGAGCGTTCACAAGTCAGTTTCCTTTCACTTTTACCATCTTAGGTCGTCTTAATCGTCCCTCTTCCGTCTCATGATTGGTGTTGGTTTTGCTTTCAAATAACCCAATTCCGGTTGTTTGTCACTATTCAGAGGTTCAAAACTGACATGAAATCATTTCTTCATCTTTTAATGAAACTTGAAACAATTGACAAATGATACAAATTGATTTCATCTTATAAACCTTCAACATTTAAAAACATTCACTTTGCGCCTTTCAGTTGATTTTTGATGAAAATCACTAAACAATTGACAGTAAAGCAATCAGTCCATCATCTTAATGTGATGAGCACAAATCAATTATCTATTAATTTGATTCATCTTCAATTGTTTCATTATTGTTTCTTCTTCTTCCTCATCCTTCTTGTCCATGTATAAATGAAGTAAAAGCAAGCTGATTGTTACTTAACCGTATAATCAAGTTTCACTAATCATATAACCATCAAAATTGATTATTGTATTTTCCTAACTGTTTCCAGATTAAACCATATTTGTGAATCTTAAACGTTGACCCGAGCAACATGAAAAATATTGATTGTTGTACAACAAATTGTAGACTTGAATACACCAAAAATGAACAATGATCAAAGTTAACCTTTTTTTTGTTTCACAAATTGTTACCTCAAATGATTAGGTTCACAGGTTCAATAAAAAATCACAATAGGTTAACCCTTTAGACAATGTGAAAATTATCAATTTTCATCTTAAATAGGAAGATGAAAAATAACAGTTTAACTGATTTGATCATTGATTGTTTTCACCAAAATCGGTATCATTCTGGTTAAGCTTGATTAACCAGAAAAATTGAACCAATCATCCTTATCCGTATGTCTGACCATTTTCAAGTTTGATCAGTTGATTGGTTATTATTTTAAATTGAAACAAAATTGAAGGGGAAACAATCCAAACTGGTGTCAATGATTAAAATAAAACTAATTGAAGTTCACTTCAATAGTCGTTCACATTCATATTACCAATCAATGTTCAAAGTCTCAATTGAATATCTTTTTGTCCATACTCAGTTAAATTGATTTTAATCAATTGTTCTTAACGGTTGTTCAATGAACTCTCAGGTAGGAGGATGAAATTGTGCAAAAATGTATAAACTCAATTAGGGTCAAGGTTGATCTTGACCGTTATTACTGTTAACTGTCTTTCAATGTTGAACAAATTTCATTTTTCAATTCATTTCTCCAATTGTATTCAGTGAACAATTTTGTTGTTCAAAAGCTTTACATTTGCCTCATTGTGTCTCATCATTTTACTGTTCATTTATCATACAAATGATAGCACTTTTTTATTCAATCCTTTTTAAAACTTCCGTCTATTTTTGGTTTCAATCATGAACATGAGAAATGACGTGAATCTTTTGATTATTTCAAAATTTATTGACATTTTGCTGTCTCAAAAAAGCCAATGATTTTTTATGTGTTTCAGCTTCAACCGAGTCAATTGTTGAACCGTTAATAACATTGAGCTTTGATCACACTTAACCAGGTATATGATATAAAAATGTGGAAATTCTGAATGAAAAGATTGATTTTTTTTGCCTCTTCTAATAATTGGTAAAATTTGACAGAAAATGTTTCTCTTCCTATCTTTTGTTGCAATCATTTAAAGCCTTTTTCATTTTCAGCTTCGCTTCAATACAGATGTAACTTTTACACATATTGCCTTCAATCCTAATCTTAATGATTTCATTGTTTCCATTGAATCATTTAATTGTCATTGAACTCATCCCATTGCTCTTTAACCTTAGATGTACCTGATATGCCTGGTCAACCAATTGTCATGGGATTCACTTCCAGATCCATCAACGTCTCATGGCCACCAAGTTTAAATAACCATAATAGTCCCATTTTGTATTATATTGTCCATGTTAGGTAAGTCCATCTTTCAAATATTCCCATTACAATAATAATTCAATCAACTTTGCATTTCTCAAGTTAAATGTTTTAAAAAAACCGCTTGAAAACGAGCGGCAAGAAAATGTTGCTTCAATAGCGCTCTCTATTGGAGGTAAAAGTAAGCAAAAGCACCCGTTGCGGTTTGTTTAGTTTCACCTGTTAATTGTGCTTTAATTATTCAACTGATTGGCAGTTTTTTTAAGGTCTTTTATTAATAGTTTTTACATTATTGTCGTTGCATGGATCTATTTATAATTTATTTTTAATGGTTTGGCTATTAGAGTTGTATTTCGATGATTATTTGACAAGAGCTTGGCTCTCTGTTGACTTTATTTGAATTTTAACCGATTTATTTTAAAATATCGTTATCATGTTACATGATTGGTTGTCACTGTCATTGGTTCCTCCAAAAAGTGAAAGTAAATTGGATTTAAATCAATATTTTTCTCCAATAAAAATGATAGTTTCGAGATATTTTGTGTTACTTCACTCTTTCAGTGTTGAAATTATCATATCATACTTATCATCTATAAATAATGTCAATGAATTTCAACGATTTCCTATCATGCAACTTCAATTCTATAAATCAATATCCATGCTACTAAAGGAATAATTTTTTTTCAAAGTAATTTCGTGTAAACAATTTCCAACTGTTAACCCAACAATAGTAATGACTTCATTTATTACTATGAAATAATATTAACCAGATAACTGTAAATTTATTAATAATGCAGTCTCAACTCTATCTCTAAAGATCTTAAGATTTTCATCAAATCGTGAATAGATTTTCATTAGATATTAATGTTAACCCTGGTAATCAATCAATTGAGCTAATGTTTTCATATCTTCTGACAACTCTAATGCAACAAAGAATAGATTAATTTGAAACAATCAATTGCAAAAGACAGTTTTCAAGTGTACTTCCAATTGAACAACTCCTTCATTAACCAAAGCTGCAAACTCATTTACTTCTGGTTATCATTGTGTTCAAAAGTAATAATCAAAATGGATTTGTGAATAAAAATGGGAAGACAATTCAAACAAAAGTGATATGTTAATTGAAGTATCAAATCATAAAAAAAGTGCCTCTTGAAATGTAATTTTAACCTGACACCAGAAAAAAATCAATCAACTCGCATTGTCAGTGTAAATACAATTTTGATACCAAAGTGATGTTTACAATCTATTTGATAACAACAAAGAGTGTTTAAAAATGTTTCATAGACCCTACAAGTGAAAGCAAAATTATGTTCAAATAACCTCATATGGACTCATTGGAAGTGAAATAATGGTCGATCAATTTTTTAACAGATGATAATGATGAGGAGGAGGAGAAGGAAGAGAAACATGCATCTCTCGATCATCCTTTTAACTCCCAAAGGAAAGGGAAAGAGAGTGTCGTCAGCAACATTGATTTTCTCAAAGCAAAATAGACAAGGAAGAGAAAGAGATTTGAAAAGAAAGGTCGATCGATCGAACAGATGGCGATAAAAGGATGAGAGTTGAAAGATGGGAAAACAACCCAAAGAAGTATATAATTCAAAAAATCTAGGTCAACCAGGACCATTTTCTGGTTCTCATGTTTTTTTTCTGGTTTCTTATGCTATTTTTTTGCTTAGACTTCCTCATCATCTTAACCTTCACCTTTTCTCCTTTCCTCATCTTCTAACCTCCAACATGATGATGTTTTTTCTCCTAAGGTTATTATTATCATTATTCATCATTTCATCTCCCATCATCAAACAACAATGAAAAATCCTTTAGTTTTCAAGTAAAATGCTATCTTTGCTCATTAAAAATGAATTGTTTCAACCACCATGTAAGCCTATTTTTTCAATGGTAATATTTGGTCTTCAAAATGATGATAACGTTGAAGTTTCATGAATTATCCCATTAGATTATTTCTAGATTATAAAGATAAGTTAGAAACTCTCATCATTGGCTTTAATTATTTTCTAGTCCTTCTGTGTTTTGACAGATTTTTTGGTTCCAATTGCTACTTGCATGATTGTTATTTACAATCATTGTTTCATATTATTTATTCATTACTCAAAATATTCACAATTGTTAGGAGAAAGTTAATAGTTACCTTTAACAGTGAAACTCTATTAGCTTTTTAGCTGATGTTATAGCAGTTAATAACAGTTAATCAATATTAAGTGAAGCAGTTCTGTCCCTAAACTCATTTTATTTTCAGGTGAAATTATTAGCAGTTAATAAAGCTTGATGTAACAATGTTAAAACATTGTCTATGTTTAGGGTTTAATTTTCAATTGTGAATGAAAAAAATATCAAACATATTAAACAAGAAAAAGAAACCTTTTTTAATTTATAATAATCTCCATATGATAAAAAATAGTATTAAATGAACAGCAGTATTCACAAAATTTCATTGTTTTTATGATTGGTGGATGATTCAAATGGCGTATGAAGTTTGTTTCAAAGATATCCGTGAATGAAATGAAGAGGAAGGGAAGAAAGAGTTAAATGATTGAAACTATGTCTGGTGGCACAGAAATTTTGTTTAACAGTTCAACAAATCAACTTTTTGGTATCCATTCTTTTTTATTATTGTGATAATCTTTGAGCTTATTTGAATCACTTGTGCTTCCTGATTCCAAGGGTTGACTGTATTTAAGGTTGGATGGTTTATCATCAGTCTTTCTCGGTGTTGGAATCCAAAGTGAATCGGTCAAAAATTTAGATGCCTTTTTGGGTGTTTCAGGTGTTGGTTGCAATTTATTGTAAGGTACTGTTGTAGATGATGTCGTGGACGGACTGAAAGATGGTTCAATTGATTCAAGCCGAGCAGAATTACCAATCATTTTACCAGCTCTGGAAAGATCAAAATTGTTTAACGACAGAGTTGATTGTTTAATTGCTGGATATGACAATTGAGATGAACGAGGTAAAGTTGAAAAACTTAGTGATGACTCTATTTCAGTACTTTTACGATTTATTGGAGACAATAATCGTGAAATTGAATCATCACTGGATGATGAACCTTTATTGATCTGATTGAAAGAGTTGCTTGGTCTTAGATTAACTTGGTGAGTGGTTGATAAATCAAGGAATGGTGATTGCTTTTGATTTGACTTTCTAATCATTTCATAGAGTTTATGTTGATGAGTCGGTGATGTTTTTAAAGCTGGATTTTGTTTGGGCTTGAGTAGGATAAATATGATCGGAGGACGAGAGAATGGTAAAGGTTGATTTGATGGATTCGATGTTTGTGAAGTGCCGTAAGATGGTAAAGATGAAAGTGGCTTTGATGGAGATTGTGAAGATGATGATGAATATGATGATGAATATGATGATGAATATGATGATGAACTTGGTGATTTTGGTTGTGATGAAAGTGAAGATGAGGGTTGTGATGATGGAGATCTTGACCCAAAACTGGGAGATTTTGTTGGGTGATGGAAAAAGAGTCGAGCTTTTTTAATTGTTTCAATCAAACTTGGACTCAATGTTGGTAAAGGTAAAGGTGTTTTTGGGAGTTTGAATCCAAAATTTAGAGAATTGTTTTTTGTTTGAAGATTTGTTGATGATTTAGGTTTTGCATTGTTACCCTTTGACCCGATTGGCCAAATAATTGGAGTAGGAAAACGTTTCCAGACATTTTTAATGTCACCTTTAGCTGTTGTTTTTGTCGGTGGAAAATGAACTCTTTCATTAATCTTGTTAATTGTTGTTACTTTCGACTGTTCCTTTGAAGATCCTTGGATTGTTGATTTTAGAGAGGATTTAACAGGAGAATCAAGAATTAATGGTTCATCAGGTGATATTTCAATTATTTTGAGATAGATATCAGGTTTGGGAGTGGTTGTTAGAGATGATAATTCAGAAAAATGTGATGATTTCAAAGAGTTGCCAGATGAAAAGGAGAATGGGTTTGTTAAATCCAACAGTTTTGTTTTAAGAATTTCATCAGATTTAATTTCTCCATCGGGTGTCATATAATCGATTAGTGTTGGAAATTGTGACTCGTAGGGTGAAACTTTGGAAATTTCTTCATTCATTAAATCCATCAGCTGGTTTTGATCATTGTTATACACAAAGATAGGTTTTAATGATAACTCAGAAGGATCGCTTATTCCCATCATTGAATCAGATAAGTTTAAATGTTGCAGTTGATTTGTTGAAAAATGGTCAAACATAGCTAAATCATTTGTGTCCAAATATTTGATTGGTGTCCCTCTTGAATCATCATTGTCAATGGATGAGGTTAGTAGTTGAGCCATCATGGCTCGTTGAGTATCAGTTAATTGTTGGCCAAAGGGTTGGGACAAACTGGGTAAATCTTTATCAGTATTACCTTTACCATTAGGCATCAAAGAAACAATTTGGCTTTGTGAAACAATTGTTGATAGCTTGTCATCAGTTATTAAAGTTGATCTACCATCAGAATTTCCGTGTTGAATGAATAATTGCGATGATCTCTTTGTTCGTTTGATATCTTTATTACCCTGTTTAGTTGAATTTACCAAAGCTATCAGTTTATCAGCTGAAGAGCTCAGCTCAATCGACGTTGAGTTTATTGAAGCTCCTGAAGAAAGAGTTAATTTAAATGTTATTTGCATTGTAACAAAGTAAATTTTATTTTATAATTACCATTAGTTTTATCGAAATCCAATTCTTTGATTCTTGATTCAAATTTGCTTGATTCGCTTTGGTTTGTTGGTTTAGTATATGATGAAAGTGAGTCTGAAATGATTAGAATGAGGGAAAATGATTAATTCAAACAATTAAATGTACTAAACATTTAAGTCATGATAATTTTGTTTGTTCCAGTGCTTACCATTGATGATTAATCTAACTGGAGATTTGTTTGAGTCCATAGTTAGTCCATCAGTCAATTCATTTTTTACATGAGTATTATGGAAATCAGAATCAGTTGAGTTAATCAACTGTTCAATGCTGGTTAAACCAACTGAACTTACAATTTGTGAATTATTAGAAGCTCCTAGAGAGTAAAGATAATTTGTATTAGAATTTGCGATTCAGATCAAAACATGATTAGTATAAATCGACGACAAAAAGCATTACATTTTTAGGTAAGATTTTGCGGACAATGACGGCAACGGTAATACTATCAAAATAGACCATAATGATGATTGACTTCACAAACTTTTGAAATATTAAACTGGAACCAAATGACACTTGGAATTTCCATAAAGTTATACAATAAAAAACAGAATTGTACAGAATTATCACAGAAAACTGAAATTTTGCTTCTTGTCATCTTCAGTTTTCTAATACAAAACACACAATAAGCCAAACAGTAAACAATGGTTATACAGTTATACATTTACAATAAACAGAGAACATTAAAATGAATCCAGATAAAAGGAAAAGGTGACAACAAATAAATGATGAAGGTTAGGAAAAAATACATAAAGGGTAAATAACATGGAAAAAAGTTCAGGATGAAGATGAGAGTAAAAATGAAGATGAAGACATTTGGTATACAAGAAGAGGATTGAAAAGCAAAGTAACAAAATAGCAATATAAAAGTGAAACATCCAAGGGGTGAATGAATTGTAAACGATAATATCGTAATTTGGTGTGCGTTTTTTTAAGAGTGAGTATTTACAGTAAAAAAACAGCTTACAAAAATATATTAGGTGTGAATTATCAAAATTTCATTTAGTTCACTTTACTTTTACCTGTATCATTAAATAATTTTTGGGATTGATCTTTGTCGCTTCTTCTATCAGCTGAAAATTTATGGATCTCTTTGACATCTTCATCATCGATATCAGTATCAGTGTCTTCATCAAATAGATCTCCTTCTCGCCCTCTATTTGATTTAGATGGTTCTTGACTATTTTTACCATCTTCTCGGCGTAACTTTAAACCTCCAACTAATTGTGAAATAAGAGCTTGATTTAGTTCATCCATTAAATTATCTTCCATATTATTGTTGTTGTTGTTGTTATTATTGGATTCTCCATCTTTCATTCCCAGATATTGGTTTATTAGAGATGAAATGTCTCCATTACTATTACCACCTAAATTTCCTCCCAGCATATCAGCTAAGCCACCCTTGAGTCTTCCTCCTCCTGTTAATCCTCCCAAGCCATTGGATCCACCGATTCCCGGTGGAGCTGGTAACTTCATACCGGCCATTTCGCTCATGGCTGTTAATGCCATGGGATTAAATCCTCCCATTCCTCCCATTCCTCCCATGCCTTGTTGAAAGAAAGGTCCTCCTCCTGAAACACCGATTCCTTGCATCCCTCCGAAAGGTCCTCCTGGTCCCAAATGACTTGGACCAAGGCCTGGGTTTGGTAAAGGTACTGAGTGTTGGTGATGATGATGTTGAGGGTGTTGTTGATGATGATTAGCGTGAGAATTTGGATGGTGAGGCGATTGAATCGAGCTTACTGAACCTGGGGGACCTCGGAAACTTTTGATTCTTTTTTTCATTTTGTCGGTAAAATCACGGTACATTTTTGATGCCACGGTTTTTAATGGTTTCATTTTGTATACAACGTGTTTAACTGAATCAACAACTCTCATGAATTCCTTCATTGAATTTTGTGGGGCATATGGTGAAGGTCGACTTGATTGTTGATATTCATTGTTATAATACTCTTGAGCTCCTGGTCGACCAACGTATCTGAATTTTTCTTTTGGCTCTGTATCATAATAGTTGTGAATATATTCATGCGGTGATTTGAATCCTGTTGGACCCATCATTGGATCTAGTGATTGAACAGAGTCAAGAGGAAAAGAACCTAAATGGTGTGCGAAACTATCTGGGCCTAAGCCTGCCATCATTGCCTCGGATCCACCAGGAAAACCTACAGATGTCGGATCAGGACCACTTGTTACTGTAAAATCGGCTCCTAATCCCATTCCACCTCCTGATTCGCCAGTTAATTTACCATAATTTAACATATTACTTGCAAAATTATTGCCAGTAAATTGTGGACTTGATAATTCAGTTGGTGTTGGACCAGTTGCAGCTTGACTATTTGATTGTGGGAATGATGGCGATTCATTATCATCATTGGTGTTCTCTTGGTTCGATGTTGTTTGATAATTGTTTGTATGATAGGGTTGATCGGAATCTTCTTGGCCACTGTTTCCACCTCCACTTGAACCATTTGCACTTTCTTCATCGCCCGATTCTGATGATCCTGATTCAGATGATTGGGACGATGATAAAGGTGATGGAGACTGTCCAAATGATGGCGATGATGAAGAAGAACCTGAATTTGTAGATGCTGATTGAGATGCTGAGGAAGATGGAGAAGAAGAAGCAGAAGAAACCGATGGTGATGAAATTGATGGCCATCCTTCATTAGAGTTGTGTAGAGATGATGAGGGTCCAAGGGGATAGGTTGATCTTAATGAACCTCGTGATGATGAAGAAGCATAATAATCATGTGTTAATGGTTGATACCTATTATGACCCAAACCAGCGTTAGCGAATTGGTTTGTTACTGTGTAACCTTTTGGTCTCAATTGTGTACGAAGTTGAGCGACCATAGCATCGATTTCACTTGAATTTATCGGTCTTAATGGGTAAGGGACAGGTGGACTTTTTGGACTTGAAAATCCATGCGATTGAGAACTGTAACCAATGGGACTTGAGTATGGGTTACCAGGGTACGATGATCCAGAATGCATGTTAGATGATAAAGGAGAAGGTGAGAATGGAGATGATAACATGGCTGAATAGCTCATGGGATGGCTTGGAGGTTTAGACGATGGACCGTATTTATAATATGAGTTAACATTAGGAGATGACATTCCATAAGAGTTTCCCACTGGAGGTTGCATGTTGTGATAACGATTTCTGTTGTAAGTGTCTGAATAGTTGATTGGTGGATTAGCTTCACTACTAGAGCCACCATTAGAATCGATTTCTCTAAGTTGACCTCTTCGAGGAGGTAAATCATTCTCCAGATTATTAGAACCTCTGGTTGTTCCATTGAAAATACCTGATTCAGAGTTTGATTCATCAGTATTTAGTGTATCCCCTCTTGCCTCATATTTGTCTGGAGATGTAGGATCACGCGATAAATAGATGAGCGGTGATACCTGACGTGATGATATTGAATCAGATTTATCGATTATATTTCCGGCTATAATTGGAAATATACTTTTGTTATTGCTAGTGCTGCTTGAGCTTGAAGGTAAAAGACCTTTCTTATGAGTCAAAGGTGAAGGTGTAGTAATTGAAGAGGCTGTTGAGGTTACAACAGTAACTTTTTCATTATCTGGAGAAATAGTTGTCGTGTTAATTACTGTTTCTGCAAACCTTTTGTCTACCAACAATGGTTTCGAGTTCTGAGTTAAATTAACCAGCAAATGATTGACTTCACTCTGGTTGATGGCTACATTTGAAGAGTCCAGTGATTTGCTTGTTATTTGTGATGTAGAGGGTGTATTATGAGGTCGATGAGGAAAATGATTGAGGTAAAGTTCACTAGAATGAGGACCACGATTGATTCGATTAGCTAGTGCGCCTGAATTTAATGTAATCTCGGTGTGTAAAGCTGTAATCACATTGCCAGGTGATGAAGATTCTTTTGAAATGATTTGATTTCCGTTGATGATCAATGAACTAGTCAATCCACCAGAGAGAGTAAATAGAAGAATAATTGAAATCAGGTAACATTGAGATTTCTGTTCAAAAAAAAAGATAAAGAAAGATGGTTTTAGTAAAAGAAACAAGGTGAAAGCAAATAAAGGACAATTTCAACGGAGATTAGGAGCTTGATTGGGTCAAATGGGGATACAATTAAGTTAATCATTCATTAAGCGATCTTCTCAACCTTTGAATGGCCAAATAAACGTTTGTTATTTATAAAATAGCTCAGTTTCAATTGTTAGATTCACTCTTATTCAGTATGTATTTCAAAAAAGATCATTCAACTTGACCATGGATTATAAGGATAACTAATTTTCATCATTTTACTTTTCTTACTTTTAAAGAGTGAAAGGAATCTTACATTTGAACTCAATATGAATTTCATAAAACACACAAAATTTATGATTATGATGATTATAGTGATTATTATATTTAATCTCATTAACGAAATATCGTTTTTGAAATGAAATAACAATAAAAGCTATCAGAATAAGGATAAAAAGATGAATTTAAGTTAGAGGAGAAGGTAAGTTATGATTGGAGTGCTTTTTATTTGATGATTATCAAATAAAAGAATGCATTACAAGTGAGAGTTTATGATGTTGATTAAGAAAACAGTAAGCACAATAATCAGTGAATCGTTGAGAAGAGGCAAAAAAATTAAGCTATTATTTCAACATAATATATAAAACTGAGGCTATTTGAGCTTCATCCATTTTATATAAATATCAAAATCATCATTTCAATAGTAATCATAATTTCCTCAGTTGACGAGCTTATGAGTCCCGTTCCGTCGCGTTCAGTCTTATAGAAAGTATTTGGGTTGTTCAATGATAGATGGCAATAAAAATACGCCAATTTACCCATCAATTACATTCTTAAAAATACAAAAATAACGTTAACAATGAAATGAGCAGACAAGAACATTTTTTTCAATCTCCTTGTTTTAGCAGTTTTTTTCATTGCTACTGTTAGTGGTGATGATAAAACACTTTTCCTTAATATTTGGGTTTATCAGCTGAAGGCACAAAAGAAATCTAAATCATCCAAGAATCCTCAATTCAATTAATGTTATCGTGATGATTGCTATAGTAGCAACATCTCATCCCATAAACAGGATCAGCCTTAAATTCGCTTTTTCGTCAGTTTAACTGTTAATGATTGTTGGCCTGGTTTACCTTTCACGGGCGAAAAGTTACCTTGGATGCTAAATGGGGAAACTGGTTGTCACAATGTTTTCTCAATTCAATTAACCGATTTCTAATTAATTTCTAATTTCTCCATTATTTTGCTTTACGCTTCGAATTTCCAATGTCTTATCCTTTGTCAATCCGTCCATTTACATAAATTAATCTTCATTTCTCTGACCATCCTCACTTTCAAAAAAAATTGATGGATTTAAGTTGCGACTTTTTAGGTTATCATATCCTTTTCAGGGCTAGAATACAATATCCATGATAAGTTGAGGTTGGTTAAGCCCGTACACTGATGTAACCAACTATAAACCAGCCTTGCGAATTTATTCAATCTCAAAATAATTGATTTTCAAGATCACACATGAGATTCATAAAGATCAGGTACATGAAGCAAGCTTGGCTGTTACTACATGTATTTGGTCAGAGAGGTTTCTTTGCTACCAAATGATCGCCTGATTGAAGTTCACCTCAACATCTTGTCGATTCAGCTCGATGGCGTTAATAGAACGTGACTAGGCCTGATGACTTTCACAGTTTGGACAAATTCCAGTGTTTAATCAGGTGATACAAACTTTGTGACACAAATTAACTTGACCATCAACAGATAAAAGGAACATTAGCTTTTTTTGCTTAGATTTAACCAAAAAAAGTACAAACACAGAAACTACAAAATAATATTGTTAGGGTTAACTTTTGTTAGCAGAAATTTGTCGTCCATCTTCTGTTAATTCAATTATGATGAAATCAACCTTGTGAGACTTAATGTAGTGATTAATAGGAACATTAACACTTTAGCAAAATATTTAGTTTGGTAAATTCAATATAAACTGGTGAAAGCAGAAGATTTGAAAAACTAAAACCGTTGGCTTCTTATCAGTCATGGGTAATGGATATATAAACGTGATAACAAAAACAAAGATTTTTACGCGCCTGTTTTTTTCAAAGCAAAGAGTAAGCCAACTGCTAATCTTTACATCAGAGTTCATCTTTTTTGTAATCTAATTTTATTTTAGACGTTATTTCATTTTTTCAATACAAAATTGTCTGTTGAATTAATTTAATTAGTGTTTTCGCCGTTAACATGGCTATTAACTATTTTGTTATGTTGATCTGTTTTTTATTGCTCGATGAAAACCACACTAAAACAATCAATCTTTTGGATTTCATTAACTTTCCATCTACCTGAACCTGATGACACTTTATTATAGAGTTGTTGTCTCAATGTATTATCAAACGAAACATTTTGATACATCTTTTGGCAACTATCAAGTAAATCTTGATTGTCGACTGATCAACACCAATAGATGATTAACTCACGTTCTCAAGCAGACGGTTGACATTTAATAACATTATTTGAACTCAAAATTATCCTGTTATAATGGTAAGCTGTCAAGCCAGGCAAACGATTCAAATTCATTGTGAAAGTGAAAGATTCTCTCCCGAAAAGACGAAGGAATTTAAGTGAAAAATTTAACAAGATTGGACAACTTACCATGATTATTCTCATTGAATGATGATCTTGGACAAATTTTAAACTCAATTAGCTCCTGATGAATAATGTAAAACTTCAACTATATGGTTCCTTTAACTTAACAACAAATAATTGAATCTCCGTTTGGATTGGTGTACATTATTCCCAGAGAGACAAGATGTTTGGTTTTAACAGCAAATGTAAAGTTTTTTCAATATGGATCCCGATATACACCAAATTAATGAATTAATTAACAAAGCAACTTTCCCTGATGAGTTTAAACAAAACAGGACAAAAGATATCAAGTTGAAGGGAAAAGGACACACAATGTTTTCTGGTGAATATGAATTTAGTCAACTGACATGGTAGACTGGCGAGGTGATGATAATGTTTCAGGGATAACGCAAAATGATGGGCCCGACAAATAAAGGGAGGATGAGCAAGATGATAATAACGATGAAAATGAACTGGAGAGCAAAAATGAAAATTTTTGAACGATTAACTTAATGGTTAAATGATTGCTCCAGAAGACATGTAGTGTTGTGTTTAGGAAGATACTATTGTCTTAACTATACCTGATTGAGTTAACATGAAAAGTGCTCCTGAATTTCGCTGAAACGACACCAGAATCAAGTCAAAGAAGGGGAGTAAATGGGAGAGTGTGGGAGAGAGGAGGAGAAAATGAATATGGAAGACAGAGAGAGAAGAAGAAAATTTTACTTCAGCCCTTCTTCTTCATCTTTTTTTTCATTTCATCGAAAAAGCGAGAAGAAGAAAAAGAGAAAAAGACAACCAAAAAAATTGAATATCGCTTCGCATGATTCCAGGTATCACTTGAATGGAATCGATTGAAACCGAATTAAGGAGAGATCTAAAAGAAAGTTTGATTCTCTTTCTTGCCTCTTCCATCATCACCATCACTATCATCTTACTTTTTCTTTCTTTCTCTAGGTAATGAGAACTTTTGAAATGCCCTCGAAAAAGGGTTTTACTTGGTTGAGTTAACACTAAAAACAGATTATCCGGACTGAATGAATAATCATCTTTTTTTGTTACTCTTCATCCTTTTTATTGTGATCAACCTTTTCTTGTGATAATATGCTGCTTCCTCTCCTTCCTCACCACAATCATGATTGGTAAAAGCATACTTATTCCTGATGATTATTCCGAGCTTCAACTACCATTTCCACAGTTAACCATTGTTACAATCGATTGATTGATTCAAAATCTCAAATTCAAAGTCGACAAAACAAAGCAAAGCTTGAAAACCAAAAGGACTTCCATCATGGATCTCATGCAAAGATACAATGTATAATTTGAATGTCAAGTCTTTCCACATAATATCATTATAATGTTTTCCAAGTCATTTATGATTTATGTTATTCAGATGATACAAGACAACCAATGTATCTGAAGGTCTTCCCAAATTGATTTGTTTTTTAAGACAATAATATCCGGCTTGGCTTGATCTTAGTGACCTATTACCAGGAGGTCACAAAAAGACTGAAAATCGGTGGAATGGATTGCCCTTGTAAATATTGATTTTACTTGAAACATGGTTCCTCTTTGAAATTCCTCTTCATGCATCTTCACCATCTTTGCTACTTTTTTTAGATCCTTTAAGTATTACCACTTCTCCATTTATACATTATATTACATTATATTTCTAGTGAATAAACCATGTCATTTTGGTAAGCATCTAACTGTGATTAGGTTAACCTTCCTTAATGGGTTCCCATTTTTTCCTTTTATTATGTTAATCTACTTTTTCCCATTTTCGAGGAACAATTTGATCATCTTGATTCAGCTTGAACCAGCTTTACAAATTAATGATTGATCAATCAACTTGAGGAATTCATAGCTCTAATCTATATACAATATATCACTATGTTTACATGCTTTGTTTTGCTTCCACTTGAATGTTTCAAGAATCTTGGAATCAACTTTATTCCTAATTTGTTAGCCAAATCAATTGACAATTATTTCAACTATTTCAATTGTCACTTCTTTAATTGTTATTCAGCTATTTAAGGTGACAAAAGCTTCAATAGCTTAACCAAATAAAGAGTCAATACAATTAATCAAACAATATGCAAATTGTTTCAATTGAAAAGCTAAATTTTCAATTGAGAAACTTACAGATTCCATTGAGAAAAAAAAGTGAAAACAATTGAAATCTTTTCCGTCTAATTCAGTATCAACAACAATTTCAATCTCGATCTGATAATCAAAATAAATTTTAATGATCGTCATGATTAAAATACTAAAATTGTTTCAATTGAAGGTAAAATGGTGAATGAAGAGTGATCATGAAAGTGAATGCTAATAAGCATTACTTGTTGATACAGATCGAGTCTAAAATCAATTATAATTAACATCATTTTCCCTTTCTTAATCATCAGCTTTTAATTGTAAAAAAATCAAAGTTAAATTGTTGGTGTGTGATGTTCAATGTTCAAGAAAAGTGTTAGCACAATCAATAACACAAGCCATATTGAAGCACAAAACGGGTTTATAAATGCTCTTCAATTGTTAATGAATGTAAATTTTGTTTTTCACCAACAATTTGAGAGATTAAATCATTTAATTGACTGTGATTTTTGATCAACTTAATTGATGAGAGCAATCATCAATGTAATGATGATAATGGTAAAATTATAATAACAAGTTGGTCTTCAGTTTTAAACATTTGAACATCATAAACGATGAAACATTCAATTGGTAGTTGACATCTTACTTGTTGGTTAATATACAAATTGCTTGATAATTATACAACAACAAAAACTGGTTAAAAGCAAAATAGTTAATTAAAGGAGACGAGATGATTTATAAATTAAGGCCTGTTATTAAACAATCAGATTTATAAAGCAATCAGCTGAATAATATGCAGTGGCAATTGATTGATCCGATTGGATGGCACTTTAATCAGAAAGCGTTATACCAAGTTAATTGTTGTGGTTACAAGTGAATCTTTTAACTCTCATAATTAACACAATTATTGTTAGTGATTTCAATTGTTAGGATTGCCATTAGCAAGGTTATCAACAGTTTTCAACCTTGAATGTTAAATTTGAATGATTAGCTAAAATATTGAATCATTTTTGCTGCTCCAAATCAGTTGATTTACAATCAATATTAAATAATGATCATTCCTTTTGTTTAGATCATTGAATTGTTTCATTAATATCAATAAACTGGATATTTTTGTGATCAACCTTTACACTTTAACTGTAACACCAATCATATTCATAACACCCAATAACGAAACAATGAATTTTGATTGACAAAAAGAGACAAAAGGCCAATTCAACTCTTTTTTAATCAACAAAAATCATATTTTTTGAGCAAAATCAACAATACAAATCATTTCTTTCCTTGATTGTGAACAAATTTCCCGAGTGATCGTCTAAATTTACATTGAGATTCAAGGTGTATCTTGATTTAGTGTGTAAACTGATTGTTTAACGTTTTTCTTTCTCATTCTTACCTTAATTTTTATTGATCAGAAACTGTCAAACCTTTAATAAATCATCCTTTTCAATCAACATCTTTTGATCCGGGTTCCTAATGGATTGATTATTATCATCCCAATTAAAGGTTGTTAACCAGGAATTTATCAGTTTGCTTTTTTGTTTCACAATTTATATCATTTTCACTTACCTTTTTTGTGTCTTTCGATCACCTTTTCACTGAGTTTATGTACTATACCTTGAAAACTGTAATGAATCACAATTTACTGTTAACCAAGAATTTATTATTATCATTAATATTATTGTTATCATAAATAGTTTGAAAGAAAGTCACATCAAAATTTGATTTTTTTTGTAATGCCACTTGTTTGTGTCAACATTGAGTTAATATCGTTTTCACTTATCCTTCAAAAAGGAGTAGCAAAATCTATATTATCAACAAAAAAAGTAAACTCAATCTGATTCACAATTAACAAATAAAGGGGCAAAAAATGTTTCAAATTTTTGTAGCCTCACCTTAACACAATTAAAGATGAATCTCTCCTATTCTTGACCGGTTGGTTAAAAATACAATTATAAGCTGATAGAAATAGTTGGTTAGGAGCAAAAAAATTGTACAATTGTAAGGGTTAATTGTTTAAAGTGTAGATTACATATTGTTGGATGTACCTTGATATTGATATTTTTCAGCTTCCAATTAATCCTAAATGCTTTAACAATCAAGGTGGATCAATCTCCGCGTTTATTTTTTGGGTCTCATATAATTACTTTCTAACCAAATGGACCTCATTAACCACTTTCATCTGCACTTTGCCTTTTTTTGGTGACAATATTGTTCAATCTTTGACTAGTACTTGAATAATTTCAACCTTTGGAGGGATAATTAGTGGCTCAATTTAACCAATTGGTGAATAATGATTTGGTTTTGAAGAGTAGTTAAGATATAATTGTTTGTTTCCAATTGACAGTCAAAATTGAGCCAATAAATCAAGAAATATTTTTAAAAACCAATTTGGTGACTTGAGAATGCAAATGCTGTTTGTTTGGTTGTTAAATTACTTTCAATTATTGATTGTTTCTTTTTAATCATCCGGAATTGTAGGGTTGGAGAAAAGGGTGATTGGGAATCAAATAAAGTAATGACCATTGGGAATGAAACCAGTTACCAATTTACGGGACTTCAACCATTCACAGTTTACGTATTTCGGGTGATTGCTGTAAACGCTTTAGGTCATAGTAAACCTAGTAAAGATTCATTTCCAATAGTAACTCTTCGTGAAGGTAAGTGTTGAACATCTTATTTTGAATTCATGCTTGAAGATACCAATTGCAGGAGAAACAAATATCAACAAGATCACATCGTTACATCGCCCATTTAAGATGCCAAAATGTTTGATCATTAAGAAATACACAGATAATCGTTGATCATTGTCCATTAATCACCAGCTCCAAAAATTTCTGACATAAAACTGGTTGGATTGATTTGTATTCCATGAGATTCACTGGTGTGAAAATGTAGTAGTAAATCATTGGCAATTTTTAGATGACCAATAAGAGAAAGATTTGTTTCCTTGTTTCCTGAGTAACTCTGGTCTTATATTGTACATTGACCAGAAATATATTCCGGATGAATCTGAGGAGTAAGCAAAAAAATCAATCATTAGATAAATGTATTACTACGGTTTCAATTATAATGTAGAGTAACATGCAAGTGGGTTAAACTTATTTTCATTAACATGATAATAGATTTAAGCGTGGAATAAGTACTTACATATTGGTTATTAAACTGTGATAGCTTTAATTTGGCAACCATTTGGTATGTTTAACTGATTTAATCCAGTCTAAAAAGATCTAAAATCAGCAATATGATCGGTCCATTTTATGTTTTATGTTGATCATCAGTGATATTGTTGAATCTGTATTTAATCAATTCCTAAATGGCAATTAGTTGGGGTGTAACATGTTAACATCTTTTACCATTTTTGAGAGCCTCTAAAATTGATGTGTTCACAATGATAATTAACTTTGAAATGGCAATGATCAGTAAGCAACTTTGCATCAACTTGCTAATTCTCCTTTCTTTTATTCTTAACGGTTTGACCCATCAATCTGGTCATAAAACGGGTATTTCTGGTTGACCAAATCTTCATCAGTAATCCAGTATCATCCCAGGTTAACCAGTTAAGCAGCCTTAGGCCAAACTAAACAGGACAACTCAGTTGTTCTTTCTTTTCTTCATTTTGGTTTCAGTACTCACTGGTCATCAGTCAGGCCAACATAATGTTAACTTGTAGATATTGTTGAAACCAAATACAAAAAATGAGATTACCAGAGACCAGGATTTATTTGAAAAGTGAAGATGGTTCATCAGTTTCTCCAGCAATTCAAAATTTGTTACACCTTTTGTCTTCAAGTTAATTTCTCATTTTAATATTTTCATTTTTCTAATCATTTTCCATTTCTTTTTACCTCTCTTCACCATACCGTCTTCAAACCTTGATGGTTAATCTGCTACCTCTGTTGATGACCATTGTTTTTGGGTCAACCATCATTGGAATCAATACACTACCAATTATAACCACCGGACCATCGATCACAGTACCTGATGGGACACCAACCATTCTAGGATATGGTAATGCAACCAGCACATCAGTTAGTCTTCAATGGGCACCTCCTCCAAGTGATACAATTCATGGTGAACTACTTGGGTACAAGATTATTCTTCACCCAAAAGATAAACCACAGCTAGAACGGACAATCATCCTTCCAGACCCAAATTTAAGAGTAAGTTTCACTTAAACAATTTAAAAAAATGTATCAAAAATTGTAAACACAAAAAAAGCAGAGAGAAATTCACTTTGTAATTGACCAGACAGTCCCTTTGTTTACCCCTCACATATTCAAGCTGTATTGCATGCACAAGCTTTGACTGGCTTGCTTTATAGTTTGCCTCTTCTCTTTATACACTGTGGTTATGATTGAAGTGAATTAATTTATTTTTTTTTTGTTGATTAATATTCTTTTTAGCAACATACCATTCGAAATTTGGAAACCTACATTCAATACAAAATAGCTTTATTAGTATTTAACATTGAAGGTGACGGACCGGCTGCCTACATAACCGTCAAAACCGAGGAAGGAAGTAAGTTGTTGTGTTATTCTTTGTTAAACTCAAGTGTCATCTCATCTTTACTCTTTTCAATTTCACTTTTATTACCTTTCAATGAATTGGTACTAATTACTGTTTGTGTCTGTTCTCAATCTTAAAATGGATTAACAGTGCCCTCTCCTCCATCTGAATTCGAAGCTGATGAAACTGGTGATACCTGGGTAAAGTTAAGATGGAAAGACCCTAAACAGCCAAGAGGAGAAATACGTGGATTTGTTTTGTATATCCGTGATTTAGAGTACAATAAAACAGATACCAGGCCTGGGATTCCAAAAAACCTTAAAGAATATACCATCAAAGATTTAAGTAAGTTTAATTGATTTACACTTATGTCATCACAATCATTAGGTTTTAAGGAAACCCCTAAACAATGTTTTGAGTTTTTTTGTTTGTTTATGTAATTGTCATTTAAAGTCATCATTTTTGTATTGAATGTGTTTATGTTTTATAGTTTGTGTGTGTGTGTGTTTTCTGTATTCAATTGCAAGTTCAACAACACCCAAATTCAGTCTTAAATTATACACCTAATAGTTTATGTCTGTTTATTTTTTCTATTTTTATGTCTCTAACGTACTTTTTAACGATTTCGCATTTTATGCCTAAAATCTTTAAGATTTTTCTCTCTTATCTACTCGTCTCAATTAATGTGATTTATCAAGGCTTTAACCTTGATTTAGATTTTATCAATTCTTTATTGAATCTAAGTCTTATTTCAATAAGCTTTAAACGACTTGAGGTGATTAACTATCATGCTGATAGGTTACTTAGACTGATAAAGGTACGTTAAAATAGCAATAATGATTAATAAGTTTGGGCGTTTCGGTTGCATAATAGACAATATTTCTTGCATTTGTTTGAAAAGATAGAATAGCAATGATCTTTTCAACCTGGCCCGTTAAAAATGATTAGGTCCAGTTGATTATGCAGTTATGGTGTCTCTTTTTTTGGTCCAAGCTTGAAAAAGAAAGGAAATGGTCTAGGTCTTGATGTAAGAAAAACTAGTTTGTGCGCTTCTTTTACTGAAAAGTCAGATGATATCTTTTGAAATTTCATTTACATGTTTTTGGGATGACAATGATTTAAACGATTTCTATTGAACTGGTTTGCCTAATTTTCTTTATCTTTCTTATTATTTCCAGAGCCTTATACAAAATATAAGATATGGATGAGCGCATTCACTGCCGCCGGCCACGGAAATGAAACTCCACCTTTAGAGATCACAACCGAAGTAAAGGGACCAAGCGCACCCATCATAGTAAATCTAACTTGCTCATTAGATAGTCTGTATCTTCAATGGGAGAAACCTGTTAATTATTATAAAAGCGTTGATCATTATTTAGTTTATTATCGATCAGAAAATTCTCGTGATTTTCATCATATTTCTCTACCCAACCAACTCCAAGTAAGTAATCACATTTTCGAACTCCTTACCTTTAATGGACTTATTATAATTTTCTTATATTTTCTTGTCTATTTCAGTACCAAATAAACAATCTTACATCGAATATGTTATATGAAGTGAAAGTTCAAGGAGCAACAAATAGTGTACGGAATTCGAGTCGTCTTATAACTGGGGAATTTAGTGAATCTCGTAAAGTTGTTCTCCAGAGTAAGTGTGAGAGTAAGTGTACTAACCCATTTCAATCTATTAATCTTCCTTTTCTTGACGCTAACTGATCCTGGTTCTAAAGGCACCTATTTTTAAACCGTAATAATCACAACCTAAAAGAACTCGTAAGAGATCTAACTTTATCCTTGTGTTTGTCTCAACTAATCATTTGCATTAACATTTTCATGCAAACCTTAAAAGTACTCTTAGAGATTAATGATTTTAATTAAATCTCAAAGAGTACTTTTGTCTGAAAATTGGCGATTTCAACTAATTCATTCTTTTCTTTTTCCACAATTAAGGCTACATATCTTCTTCACAAATTGATGTCCCATTAAGTGCCGGTGTGATTGCTGCCGTAATTTGTGTTTCATTTGCACTTCTTCTCGCCATCTTTTCATTCATCTTATGGAGGAAATACTTCCAAGCAGCATATTATTATCTTGATGATCCACCAAGCCAAACTCGTGGAGGATCACCCCAATTATCCGAAACATATGATGAATCGGATTATGCTTCTATCCCAGTTGCCTTGTGGCCTAAACATGTTCAAGACCTTCATGCTGATGGTGACATTGGATTTTCTCGTGAATACGAATCCATTCAAACTGGAACAGACGCTGAATTATCATGTGATTATTCACAAATGCCCGAAAATAAAAATAAAAATCGATATGTTAATATAGTTGCATACGATCATACAAGAGTTACTCTTAAATCATTATCTGGCCAAAAGAAAGTTGCCGGTGTCGATTACATCAATGCCAACTACATTGACGTAAGCATTAATTTTAGCACAATCCGTTTAATTAAAAACACTTACTAATTCTCATCATTACATTACAGGGATATTGCAAACCTGCGGCATATATTGGTACTCAAGGTCCTTTACCTTCTACTTTCGATGATTACTGGCGAATGATTTGGGAACAAAGAGTTTGCATCATTGTAATGATAACCAATCTCATTGAAAGAGGACGTGTAAGTTAAATGACAAAATTAAACATTTTTGCAAGTGCATGATGAGATTTTAAGTGAAACCTTTTCCTTCTCATCACCACTTGAAACCAATTTAGACTTTACTGTGAATAATGCCAAAAACACAAATATTAGAAGCCCTTTTGTCCAATGTTCAGTTTTAAGTCCCAATGTAGTCTATACATAGTACCATGCATTTTTCGTTGATTGACTTTTTTCCAAATTAGAATGTTCCTGTAGTAAAAATTATCCTTATTTTAATGATTGTGTTTATCCGTAGCAACCTTTTCAATGATTTCATTACTTTGTTATTTTTCTGTGTTACTAATCATTAACCAATTACATTTTAGAATCAAAAGATTTGTTTGGACGTAAATTGAATGATACTCACCTGCCATCCAACCTCTGATTTGTTTGATCCTTTCTTGTTATCTTTAAACTATCTTTAAATATTTCGGTCTACTATGAGTGACTCATAAATGTCTCTCTTTTTGCATGCTAGCACCAGTTTAGTTGCTCTTCAGAGTTGGATGACAGCGTAAGTAACTTAACAAACAATACTTTCTAACATCTCGTTCCTCACAAAAGCAAAAAGTTAACTTAACCCTGACCACTACTGTATAAAAATTAGCAACTCTCGCTTTCTCTTGATTGACGTTTTGATTGGGACTTAAAAGACGAATTGATGATGGCTTCAATCTCGATTTTGATGTCTAACATTTCGCTTTCTTTTTCTTCTATTTCAAAAATTTCTCAATTCTTTTGTTCTTCTTGAACTCGAGCTGATGAAATAATGATCCAAACGACTAATGCTGATCCTATAAGCTGGTTTATTAGTCAAATCATTATTTATTCATAAATTCAATTTTATTTATCCTTTTTATCTGTTAACATGCAACTAACTTTTACACTTTATATCTCTCCTTTTCAACTCCATTATTACAGAGAAAATGTGATCTTTATTGGCCAAAAGAGGGAACTGAAACTCATGGAATAATTCAGGTCAAAATTCTGCAAGAAGTAGTTATGGCTACTTATACACTACGAACATTTTCCATCCGTAATCTTAAAATGAAAAAGGTAAGTTAAGAAGCATTTACCTTTTATTACATATTTTGTTCCTATCAATAATTAATTTTTTTCATTTCTCATTAATGGTATAGAAACACGGAGCTGAACGAACTGTGTATCAGTATCACTACACTAATTGGCCTGATCACGGAGTTCCAGATCATCCTCTTCCTGTTTTGTCATTTGTACGAAAGTCATCGGCCGCAAATCCACCAAATGGTGGTCCAATTATAGTTCATTGCAGGTGATTTCTTAATCTATTGTTTTGATTGATGTTTACTATTATGATTAGCTGTTGGTTTTTTCACTCATTGACAAAGATGAAAACATTTCATAATCTGTCTCCATCAGTCATCATTTTTATTTTTTTGTTAGATTCAAGTTTTATGAACTTAGCTTCACATTTGCAAAGCTACTACAAAACTAACTTTACTTGAAGATATTTTTAACTTGCGATACTTAAGGCTATTAGCTAATATTTAAATCTATTTCGTTATGTAAATCTTTAGTCAATTGAGTCAATAGACTTTTCCAAAAATGGGAAAAAATATTGTTCAAACTCATACTAATATCTATGCTTTTTTCTTGTTTACTTATAACAGTGCCGGTGTTGGTCGAACTGGTACTTATATTGTCGTTGATGCGATGATGAAGCAAATTAAACATCGACAAAGCATCAATGTTTACGGGTTCTTGAAGCACATTCGCCAACAACGAAACTATCTCGTACAAACAGAAGAGCAATATATTTTCATTCATGACGCTTTGTTGGAAGCAATTGAAAGTGGCGATACTGAAGTTCCCAGTAGTCATCTGTCGCGTTATATTCAAACTCTTCAAACTGGTGGTGATGCCATTTCAAATGCTAGCTCTGATATCAAAGAAAGGCCTTTCCATTGGCCTCTCCTTGAAAGACAATACAAACTTGTCACCAGCTTTAGAGCAAAAGATTTCAACGTTGTTTCAGCATTGAAACCTTGTAATAAGGCTAAAAATAGATCTCTCAATTTGATACCTTTAGAAGCACATAGAGTTCACATTACTCCGCGGTCTCCAGGAACTGATGGCTCTGACTATGTTAATGCCACTTTCCTTCTTGGATTCAACATGCTGAAAGAATTTATAATCACTCAACATCCTCTGTATGATACTGTGTCCGATTTTTGGCAAATGATCTGGGATCACAATGTACAAACTATTGTTGTACTAACACCTGTAATTGATGAGAAAGAATTTCCACAATTCTGGCCTGAAAAGGATGAAGAATGTGATTATGGTAGTTTTAAAGTTAAACTAACTGAAGAAATTACCACCTCCCGAGAAACAGGAGGATTTGTAGCTACTAGAGATTTTATTATGCAATCAACTCAAGATGATTACGAGTTAATATGTCGTATTGTGCACTGTCCCGGTTGGCCTGAGACATGTGGACCATTAAATAGTGTTTTTGATCTCATCAAAATGGTCCAGCAATGGCATCTTGAATACCAAAACGGTCCGATAGTAGTCATGGATCGGTAAGTAACTCTTTGTACTTTACAATAATTATTGTAAGATTATTATATTTAGTTCGATATCTAATTTAATTGTTATTTTTTTCATTTTTAGTTATGGAGGAACAGAAGCAGCAACATTCAGCTGTTTAACAACTCTATATAAACAATTAAACTTTGAAGATTGTGTCGATGTTTATATGTATGCTAAACTTTATCATTTAAGAAGGCCAGGTATTTGGAGATGCCAGGTATGTGAATTTTTAATAGGAAAATCATTAATCTAAATCAACATTTTTTGAACTTAACTGATCTAAATCTTTTTCTATTTTTCAGGACGATTACTTGTTCCTTTATCGCGCAATAGAAAGTCTAGTTTCCACAATGAATCTCGCCGAGGGAATGGATACATCACCATACGGGAGTCAATTAAACATGACTAATGGACATCTTAATTCTAATTCCAATGGTCATATAATCAAAATAAATTTATCCACTGAACATAGTGTTAAAAGCGAGTCATTGGCTTGAAAGACAAGTCAAGTAATTTTATTGAAAAAAAACGCAAATTTGATCCTCTATTCATCTTGATTCTTGCTCATCATCATGATCATTTAAATCTTCATCATCTAAACAAATTGTCATTTCTTACCTTCACAACTCAATGAAACTCATCGTTTATAAATCTCATCGCCATCATCATCATCATCGCCAACAATTTCACCGTTACCTGTTAAATATCACAACACTTAAGCCACTAAATTTATTTAAACGTAAACCTGGCAATGGAAATCAACTTCACCCAGCCGCTTCCAATCAAACAGGACAATTGAATAAATTTAAATTGTGAAACATCTTTTCAGAGCCATGGTTTAAATTGTTTTTTATCTTTCTTTCTTCATTTTGTAAATCTTGATAGACATTTAAGTGAAACTTCATCGCAAACAAAATCTTTTTTCTCGACGATCTCATCTCATTGCCATTGACTTTGAGAATTAATTATTTACTTTCACCGTCTGCGTTTCTCTTCACTCATCTTAATCATTGAAACATCTTCATCTTTCGTACAAAATGTCTTTATCTTCCACTTTTTGTTTTTTTTCTTATTTTTCACCTTTATTCTTTGTTAAATCGTTTCTTAAATCATTCATAGTCTGCCATTCATTGTCTTCACTTCCACCGATAAAACTAAAAATTCATGCTCATTCTTGTTTCATCCAAATCATTTTGTTCTTGTTTCTCTTTTTTTTCTATCTTCCTTATCCTTATCAAAGTCCTTAAAACAAATTATAATGAATCAAATGAAAAAATTAAAATAAAATGAAATACAATAAATTCAAGCATAATAGGTAATGTATAACTTGCAGCAAATAAATTGTCTTCTCGATTATTGAAAGACATAAATTGTATTATTGCTCAACCAAAAGTAGAGATTAAATAAAAGATTTTATTTCTTAACTAATCAAGATTCTTTCAAATTTAAATTATAATTATGATTCGTGCAAGCAATTCGTGTTGAAAAATATACATGTTGGTTCCTTTATTGGCTTTCTTAAGTCACAAAAATTCAATTGATCGTTCATTATCTGATACTAGATGAATTTTATCGACCAAGGAATTGATGGGTTACATGATTATCCTTGTGCCTTTTCTTCATCTTCTAATGCTCTAAATCTGGATTAATGATTAGAGATTACTTTGGCCATTTTTCGTGAATGACTGAATGTTCGTTTTGAAATAATATTCCGTCGAAACCTTAAAACATCAGTTTTACGAGTTTGAAAAGTAGCCATTTCCTCAACTTCAGAGCAATCGATTCCTTACTTTACAAAAAAGCTACAATGTAATTGATTTCTGATTATTAATAAATGAATAGTAAAAGCATATTCAATTGAAACAATTTATTTTTTTTGAACAATTGATGTTTGGGTGGAAAAGGGTGGGACAGTTTCAACATTAACATTAGATAATTAAATTACATTAAATAACATTTTATATCATTTTCACATTTTTGTTTGACTTTTGTTTTCATCAATGATATTTAAATGTCAACAATATGAGATCATTTTTTCATTTTTAGTTTTGTTTACATTTAAAAACTATTTTTGTACTCTTTTTGCGTGTTAACCAATTAAGTTTTTAAGTTTTTGTTTAGACATTTTTTGGCATTTGAGATTTTGTTTGAGTGGAGGAGACAAGGAAAGTGAGCAAGTCATGGCATTTGTTAACTAGATGAGGAATTAAATTGATTAATCTAATGAACTAATATTGCTAGATTGGGTGGGCCAAATGGATGATAACGATAACCAAGATCTTTAAATACAGTTGAAACATGATGACAACACCACGAACCCAATCTACCAACATCACAACCGCACATCCAACCAATTCGGGTTTCATTTTGTCTTATTGAATACCAGAAATGGGTTGTTGATTCTGAATCAAATTGTGAACATGAAAGTACAACTTTAAGCATTATTTGGTAATCACAAGGTTCCCAAATGAAGACATCTTTAATGTTTGGTGGGTTTAGTGAATCAAACGAGTTTGAACATGAAAGCGATCGCATCATTCCATATCCTCGAGTTACTTGGTAAACTTGAAGAGTGTGATCTCGAATATCTTCTCTGGACATTGGCGGAAACGAGACTTGATTTTTTGATATTTGACGAAAATCAGCTTCATCTAAAAGTGATGGTCCTTCAGGTTTACAATGACTGAAATTCCATCGACGATATTCAGGTGAACAGGTTGGATCAAAGGTGTCATCACACAGAGGAATGCTTATCATTTGAAAACAGTTGATCATGGCACAAACGTTCATTAAATCGCTATTTATGTTTAACCTGTCTTGCCAACAAGGCTTTTCAATCGCTTTAAAACTACGAATACGATGTTTTACTTGTCGTATTATTGCTCTAACCGCCCCAATCCAGCTTCTTAAATTGTCCAGTTCACTTTGGTCCATGAAGTTGCCCATTTTGGGGACAAAAGGTTGAAGACATTCAGTGTTTGTTGTGTTTTGTCCATTGTAATTGTTTAAATCATTTGTTACAAATGACTCAACTAAACCTCGAGTAATTGCATTTGAAACAATAACATCATTTTCTTGTAACCATTCAGATCGATATTTTAGGTTTAGGTTAATATCATCATAACCATTTCCATCGAAAGCTGATCCATCACCTGGAGTTCGACCATTTGAAGTAACATTTATATCTTCAAGTATTGCAGGTCCGGTTACATCAACAATGTGACCTGTGGAACTGAAAACAATGAGTGATTCAAGTGACAGATGTTTGGGTAGAGAATCGCTTTCATTGGGAATCAAATAGGGAATTCCGTCTTCTATCAGGAAAACTGCATCTTTTGGAACATTTAATCCATGGATTATATCACGACGAGTTTGCTTGGTCATAACAAAGGATCGACTGTTTCGATTGAAACCAATGTATTTGTAGGAAAATTCAGATCTAAGTGTTTTTCGAACTCGGTCAATCTTTGAGTTGCAATCAGCCAAAGGACAGCGAAACATTGATGCCAACAAGCGATTAGGTAAAGCATGTTTCAATTTAATCAGATACAAGGCTAAATCACCTGAAGCAGGGTGAATTCCGGATCGACCAATAATGTCTCTAAGTTGATCAAAGTGTGGCTTTCGTATTCCAACCATGTACTCATAGTTAGCATCGGGTAAATTGTCGACCCAATTGGGTTCCATTGATTGGTAACAATCAGACTTGACTTGAGCAAAAACTTGATTGAATATCAATCTGAATGAAAAAAGGAAATGTAAATATAATGGAATTAGCAAGTGACTAATTGACATAAAATAACCATTAATGAATCATGATTAATGACTGATTGCTAAAAGATTACAATGGAAATGCATTTCTCAATAAGATGATAAATAGATGATGATAAATATCGAACTGTAAATGAAGGCTTACCTTTATTTTGCTTTTTCCTCTGATAACTGTAATCCAATCGAAGGTTGAGTAAAAATAAAGTTGAAGTTTCAAGTGATTAATGGACAATCAATTTCAGGTAAATATTCACTTGACACTGTTGATCACAATAAGATTTGAACAAAGATTTGGTTGTATTATGACCAAAGGAAAGGTAAAGGCAGTAGATTAGCCCAAAATAAATGCAACCAAATGTTGAGATATTCTGGTTACACCGACTCGAATCAAGGCAACAACTTGACTTGCGTCTATTTCAAGTGAAAGGTTATTTTAAGGAATAAATTTAAATTGAGTGAAAAAGATGTTGAATTACAGATGAACAGAGAGAATCGTAAAGATGATATAAATAGATGATGAAAAATAATTAGTTGATCAATTATGATGGATTTTGTTACAATATGGTGTTAAATTTACAGTTGAACCTATTATGAATAGATGAGTGAAAAGTGGAAGTTGTTGTTGATGTTGTTGAGTTGAACAGTTCAACCCAACTGATTTGTTTACCAGGTAAACCCAGCATCAAGTTAAACTCAACGAGTCGCCTCACTCGTTAATTTCCTAGCATTTCATCAGAGTTACAATAACATGGAGTAATCAAGTTGCGTCAACAGTTAATTATCTCAAGCAAACTGAAAGGGTTTTACCGGTTCTGTTACACGAGTCAAGCCTAAGGTTTGTGAATGACTCTTGATTAAACATCTGATTAACCCGATAACTCACGAGTAATTTGATGGTATTGATCATCTTTAAACTCTTAGATTACAATTTCATTATTACTCTTGATTTACATTGCAATAGTGTAATATGATTGCGTTTCTTGATCAAATCAATTCCTCTCTCAATCGACCCTCCATGTGAATAACTTGATAAGCTAATCAACAAGTTGATGAGTTTTCTGGTGTAAAATGATTCACAAACAGAAAAAGATGTTTCCTCTTTACCCAAATTCAAGAGATTCAATCATTTTGAGACACAATTTGACAAAATATGCAAATTAATTACAATTAAAGTTGAGTGTCATCTTTTCACTGATCAAGGTTAGTTGAACACGTTTTCATTTTACTTTGAATCATCATCCATTATCAATCAAATTCAAGGTTAATTAAGTTGCAACTTTGACCATTTATTTATTAATATAATGAAACTGAAAAATTGTTATCTTTTTGCTTCCAATGTTTTCACTTGGATAATTGATTGTTGATTGCTTTTTGTTTATTAATGTAAATTGATTGATATCTTCACAGGTTTTATTATCGTTGTTGCTTTTATTATTGCCTTTTGTTAGATTTGTTAATCACTTTTCTCGGAAATGAATGTGAACCGGTTAGTTAGCTGATTATCTTGATGTTATCCTGTAAAGGATGTTTTATCAAATTAAACTGCAATTTGATGAACATTCAGTTTCTAATTGTTTTTACATCTACTTTTGGTTTCATCGTCTCTTCAAGATTCATTAAAATCGATGAAAATTGTTTTTTTTGTTGATTGAAGAGGAAAACAACAAATTAATTAATAATTGCTTTTCAAATGATTTGTTTTCAATGAAAGAATCAAGTGTTGATTGAATAACAATTTGAAAAGCTTTTATAGCTTTCACTTTACAACATTGGCTGTTAGATTAAAAAATGGGTTAAAATGGGTAAAGCAATTGAAGATTTTCATTGTAACTGGAAAAAGAAACCCAAATGGCAATGTGAATGCCAGTAAACAAAGCTCAAGTAATTAAAGCAAAAATTAAAGATTTATTGAAATGATAATCTTCAGCATTTCAGATTTGTCATGCAAAACTGCCTTAAATTTACTTGTCAACTTGTCCAGATTCAACTAGACTTTGGACTGATTTAATCTATTTGCAGTTAATTTACCTGTTTATATCTCGACAATGCTAATGCTTTGGTTTGAAGACTTGAGGTGAACCTGGAAATGTTTCCAAATGGTTTTTGGGTAAAATATTCAGGAACAACTTTAACTTGTCTTAATCGGTCATAGACTGGATAAGCAACTAATAATCAACCTGTGAAGGTCAGAAATCTTTGATCATCATCGCCATCACCAGTTTCTCAAAAGGTTTAATATCTTCCTTTTTGTTGAATTTGTTTCTTGTCTTTCCAATGAATTGCCCTGAAAAAGGCTCTATTTTTGTTGCCTCTTAAGTTTATTATCTTCAATCCATCAAATCATTTCAATTGTCTTTCCTTCATCATCCAATTATCTCAATCACTTGTCTTAATTCTAATCATTTGCCTTATCATCCTCTTTCTGTCTTCAAGATGATCCAGGAATATCTTTGTTTTTGTTTTCTGGTGTAAACTTGAAAATATTTGTTGATAACCAACACCAATAACATAAGCAACTTCACCAACAAGCAAACTCTTTTTCTTAATATTTTTGTCAATGTTATTGCGCTGTTAAAATAGTGTTTATTAATGATAACTCTGGTCACAATTAAAACTCTAACTGTGCAAACTGTTTACTTACCAGTTTGAAATTGATTTACATTGAATAATCCCATTCGAGTGGTTCGCAGCAACGGTTTCTTGGTGAGATTTGACTACAAAGTGCAACCTTTAGGATTACATTGCAATTATCACATTCACCTTGTATTTTATCAGTGCCATAATGAAGTTGACAGTTTCCTCAGGAATTTACTCATTTAACAATTTGTGCATTATTTTATTAATCATTGCATTAACACCAAACTGTGAATCAGTTGCAGCACCTGATCCAAGCAAAGAAAGGTTAGTTTTGTGTTCATTTACACATCAACAAATCATCTTTTGGTTGTTTACTAGCAACTTTCAGCACACTTTCATCAACTTAACATGTTCAATTTCAAAAGGTTTACATAAAAATTGATTGATTGTGATCCATGAAAAGTTGATGGCTATTTCATTTCAATAAAAACAAGAAAAATCTCGTTTTTTCATAATGAAGGGCACTGCACACAAAACAGACACAAACAACTTTGAATAAGCAAAAGTTAAGTGACGACTAAAAGATGATTGGTAATGATTAGCCATTGCATTTTATTTAAAATGATATTTTTATTTATCTTCTTCTCTTCAATTGTTGATAACTATTGATATCACCGGAACTATTGCTGCTTGTCAATCGAATCAGTCTGGATATTCTGAGGAATTTACAGTCAACAATGAGATCAATGGAAGCGCGATTAAATAATTTGGATTCCAAGTTGGCTCAAGTGAATTTGGTTGATCATGCATTTAGAATGAATAATGTTCAAAGTAAGGTGGAAGAAACAAGTTCATCAATCGTCTTGATTGGGGGTAAAGTTGAAAGAATTGAAAGTATTCTCAATAAATTGCAGTTGACTGACCAAGAGAAGAAGAAATGGTGTAACACTGATTATGGTCAGAGTCTGTTTAGTTTACATAAAGGTGAATCGGAATCAGTGCGTCGTCAAATGTCTTCAATGTTGACAGAAATTTCCGAACTCATTCGAAGTGGAATGGGAAAATTACTCATTAGGATGGATTCACTGTTAACAGAGACAAGCAAATCATCATCAACATCATCGTCTGCATCTTCATCCGGAGGAAATTATAAGCCAAGTGATTCTTCAACTTCCTTTAAATTACCATCATCAACCTTACCAAGTACAACAACCAACTCTAGATCTGGTTATGAATTGGCAGGTAATAGTGGTGTCAATAGTGGTAGCAACAGTGGAGATGGTAATATTGGTGCTTCAGGTGATTACCAACAGGTCACTTTGATACAACAACTCAATAAAAAGTTGGATACATTAGTTGGACGATGTTTATCATCCGACCGTGGCTCTGACAATAGCGGTGAGATGGTGACCACATTGGCACAAATTCGTAGCCTATCACAGGATACGTTGAATACAATGGTTAAAAAGGTTGAATTGGCTGAGAATCAATTGTTAACAAGTGTTTTAAATTCATTGCAAATACCTGGAAAATTATCACAAATTAAAGATGCATTTGAGGAAAATGTAAACAAATTGAGATCACAGGTTGATGGACTTTCGGCAAATGCACCCATTTTAAGGATATTGAGGCACATTAAAACACAGTTACCCGATGTTTCAAGGGTAACATGTATGGATGAGCAAACATCAGAGTTACTTGAGAAAGCGACCATTCAGGTTAACACCATGATCAATGATTATACTAAACAGATTAACTCCATTGATCACAGTTTAACCAATATTAACACTATTGTCACCCGACTCAATAGTCTGGTAGATAAATACAAGAATAATTATGTACAACAAAATACAAGCTCTGCAAGTTTACGAACATCGATTAGTTCATGGGAGTAATTATATCAAAATTCATCATTAAACAAAAAAGATAAAATAAAAAAATAAGTTATCTATCGATAAACTTCATTTCATTTCTGAAATATTTGCAGACAAAATCGATTGCTTTGTATTTTCGAGTTATCATTTAGTTGATACAAGAAACAAATTCAGTTTGAATTATAGTATGCTTTTTATTCTTAGTTAATAGTTTTTTAATTATTAAAAAGGATCCATTGCAAGACATTAATATTTAATAACTATTCTGTTTCGTCTATCATTTATCATTCGAGTTGGAACTCAATAAAAACTGGACTTCCAACTCGTGTACTCGAAAAATTTCAATGATTTTTTCATTCCATTAAACTTTTGTGAAGACTTACATCCACGAGCAACAATTTTTTATACCAAATGAAAATCTAATGAATCCAGACTCGAATTAATGATTCCATCAACAAGTGTTACATTTGTATTGACCTGAAATTACAATTTCTTCCCTTTTATCTTGTTATTAATCTGACTGTGTTGTCGGTCTATTGCAATATATTAATAACACTTATACTGGAACTCGATTGTATTTCAATTTTCGAGCGATATTTTCCTGATATTAGGATGGCGTTTGTCAAAGTATTAAACGGCTGGATGCGTAACAATGAACTAACAGATTATCCACAAATACCAATCTATTCAACTGCATCGAAACTAGGATCGAGTATTTCATCGAAAAGTGAATTTAGGGGAAAATGTGTAGCAATACTTGTGATCATTTTGTTGAATTTCAAATATCTCTTCAGATCACTCGATGTTTCACTGGATTCAGGTTTCGATGTTGAGTTTAAAATATTTATCGATTGTCTATGTGAGCTCGGTATGCATTTTTTGTTATATTTCAAGTTCAATCTCAACTTTTTGAGACAAATTGAAAATCTTTGGAAAGAGTTACAAATCGATTCTGATTATGCAGCCAAAAAATATTTCTGGAACCATAAAGTTATCTATTATATATTGTCGGCAAATTTTAGTGTATCTCTATTGATCTATGATATTGCTAACATGTTTCGTATTTGGCCTTATTCAGACGCTGGTCAATCTACGACCATCAGTATATACAGAAAAAATCCAATTCATTACTGGACTATTATAGTGCGCATAATAATCATTCATCCTTACAATTTGCTTCAAACTTTTATCTTATTCGATTTATTAGTTTTAGCTCAAACGGCACTTCAACACGTCAACATGGAGTCTCATCGACTTTACAGAGCATCCAATATTGATATAAAGACATTGAATATAAAAGCTATGCGAAATCTTCGACTCAAGTTCTTTTCAACTCAACGTCTGGTCAATAAAATGAATGAGTTTTTCAGTCCTTTCTTGTTTCCTTATTGTGTTATTTTTATGAATCGTTTCATTAATTTGCTTTACTTTGGACTATTCGTTCAACAAAGTCTGGGTACGAAAATATATCGAACTGTTGGCTGTGTTGGAATGCTTTCACTTCTCATTTTAGTGGTTCATGCAGCCGTCAAAGTATATACGAAATCACAAGAAGTAATGGTAACTGTGTATAAATTATCACTCAAAACAGACTATTTAAGGGTAATGAATGAGGTTTGTGTTCAGTTGATCTTCACTTCATCTAAAGTATACTCGTTGAAAGATTTGAACTAATTTTCATTTTTTTTTCAAATTAGATTTCATTGTTTCTCAATTGCGGTGGAATTGGATTCTCATTCGGTGGCATCTTCATGATAAACACTTCTACCGTATTTACATTTTTTAGTATCTTAGCTACTATTATTGTATCTATCCCATCATTCACGAGGTAATATCACATCATTTAAAACACCAACTGGCACCGGGTGAACCGAATCAGTCGAGTTTCTAAGCATCAACTTACAGCCCACAATTCATCCGTATTCAATAAAACCGTGAACAATGAAAATAAAAAATAATTCTAATGTAAATTTCAATGGCGGAAAATAAACTTATTTCAATAATTTAAAAATACTGTGTGCTGTGATTAACGAATCAAGCTTTTGTTTGATGAAAAATATAAACACAGGTTGTTATTGAAAAGACAAAATTAACACAAATGGACAAAAACAAGTAAAAATGAGTTTATTTCAAATTTAGACTCTGTTAGTTTGTAAGGGAATGAAAACTTAATTCATTTGTCCGATTTAAAAGTTTCTCTGTTCAATAGTTTTTGAGAAAATCGAGTTCGAAGTTGAAACTTGGATCGCTTTTTGTACAATTATGGAAGCAGATATTTTCATTAAACTCATTTCCCTAATGTAAATTTAGATAATCAACCAGAAAATGTACTTATTTTGAGAAATAACATTTTCCATTTCCTTTAAAACAGTTTAGTTCGATATTTGTCTAAACCGACCGCATTCTGTGACCATAAGACTTAGAGAACTGAAACTTATTGTTTTACCTTAAAGATCGTTTACACACATCATGAACTGAATACATTTATCGATTTTACAAGAGGTCTCTTGATTTTGGCCATTAGCCTTAAAACTTTGAGCCTCGAAATCTCGAGAAGGGCATAACCTGCAGTCATCATTCTTCGGGTAATTCAATCCTTCACTAATTAATAATTGAATTAAATCTAAAAACTTTCCATTGGCACATCTGGTTCCTGGTATTTGGCCTGTAAATGTACAAGCAACAACTTATTCAACAAAACAAACTCATCTTAAGCCATTTCTTGGTGAATAAAGCAATTTTCTGGTTAAACTTGCAAATCAAATGTATAGAGTGCTACCAAAGGCTCGAACATTTGAGTAAAGAGTTGAAACTTGGTGGGGTTTGTAGGGACATAAAAACTGAGTCCATTGGAACTGTTAAATCATTCATCCGATAAACAGTTTTCTAGAAAATCGAGGTCAAAGTTGTAGCTTCGATCGCCTTTTGTACAGCTATGGAAGCACATTTTTTCATGAAACTCACGCAGCTGATGTAACTTTTGATGTCTAACCATGGCATGATCTTATTTAGAGCAAAAAAAGTTCCTGTTTTTCTAAAACAGATCAAGTTCGATTTTTAGGTGAACCGACTTTTTTCTGTGACCGTAATACCTATAGAGCTGAAACTTATTATGCGTCGATAAAAATTGTAGGTTCACATCAAGGATCAAATACTTTTTTCAATTTATCAATATTTCTCTTGCTTTTGGCCATTGGCCTAACAACTTTGAGCCTCGATATTTCGAGAATAATGGCCCCTACAGTCATCATTCTTGCACCAATTTGCTCCTTTACTATTTAATAATTCAATCCAATGCAATAACTCTCCATTAGCGCATTTTAGGTCATGATATTTGGGTTTTAAATGTACAAGCAACGCTTACTCAACAAACTAAACTCATATTAACCCATTTCTTGGTAAATAAACCACTTTTCTGGTTAAAGTTCCAAATCAAATGCAAAGATTGCTGCCAAAGATTCAAACATTTGTGTAAAGAGTTGAAACTTGGTGAGTTTGTAGGGACATGAAAACTGAGTCCTTTGGTACTATTGAATAACTCATCCAATGGACATTTTTCTAGAAAATTGAGGTCAAAGTTAAAACTTCGATCGCCTTTTCTTCAGTTATGGAAGCAGATTCTTTCATAAAATTCATGTGTCTTATGTATCTTTTGCTAACCACCCATAAAATCGTCTCATTTAGAGGAATAACATTTTCTGTTTTTGTAAAACAGATCAAGTTCGATTTTTAGATGAACCGATCTCATTCTGGCGCTGTATGAGCTAGAGAGCTTAAACTGCTTATTTGTCGATCAAAACGTTGATTAAAATTGTTGGTTCACATTATGGATTGAATAATTTTATCGCATCATCAATAGTTCTTTTGATTTTGGCTATTGGCCTTAAAATTTTGTGGCTCAATATTTTGGGAATGGCATAATCTAAAATCACCAATCTTTCACCAAACATTCGATTTCATTATGGGCTATAATCTATTGAAACATTAAATTATTCAAGATCCTACGAAAAAAGTTATAGCATTTTATAAGTTACGTTGTCAGATTTAAAACTTGATTCATAAATCTAAAAACAAATCTTCAGCGTTAGAAGGATCTTTGTTATTTAATGAATTAACTCAGATTTTATTCGGTATTCAGTCATAAACTATTATAGCCCATAATTCAATCTAATGTTTGAGGAAAGAATGATGATTGTAGGTGTAACCATTCTCGAGATTTCGAGGCTCAAAGTTTTAAGGCTAATGGCCAAAATCAAGAGACCTCTTGTAAAATCGATAAATGTATTCAGTTCATGATGTGTGTAAACGATCTTTAAGGTAAAACAATAAGTTTCAGTTCTCTAAGTCTTATGGTCACAGAATGCGGTCGGTTTAGACAAATATCGAACTAAACTGTTTTAAAGGAAATGGAAAATGTTATTTCTCAAAATAAGTACATTTTCTGGTTGATTATCTAAATTTACATAAGGGAAATGAGTTTTATGAAAAGATCTGCTTCCATAATTGTACAAAAAGCGATCCAAGTTTCAACTTCGAACTCGATTTTCTCAAAAACTATTGAACAGAGAAACTTTTAAATCGGACAATTGGACTCAGTTTTCATGTCCTTACAAACTATCAGAGTTTAAATTTGAAATAAACTCATTTTTACTTGTTTTTGCCCATTTGTCTCTTCATTATTTGTGTCAATTTGTGCATAAATGTGATAATTGTATCTTTTTAGCAACAACCATAAACACATGAAAAATGAAAAACAATTGAAGTTCTAACTTGAATGAGCAAAAAGTTTTCAGCATCATATTATATTTAGACTAATTACTTTTCTTAATTAAGGTCGCTGTGAGTAGTAAACAATTGGATAATTAATTGAAACATCTAAGTATTTTATGAAACCATCTTTTATTATGAATGTCTTTTGAAAATATAAAATTTTTACACAATTGAAAAAGAAACAAAGTTGGAGAAAAAAATTGAAAAAAGGAGGACATTTGAAACAAAATAGGTACGGTGGGCTAGTTCTGATCATTATCACCATCATGAGCATTATTATAACCGTCTTTGAGACCATTGTTGGTCTTGAAGAGTAAGAGCAGAACGAAATGAAAAAGAAAAGAAACGAAACAAAAAGCAATATTTATCGAGAAACCGTCTGCATCTCTATATTGAATGTTAATTAGCTACTCTTGGTTGGATTTGCTTTTGGTGGAGTTGCTTTTGATGAAGTTGGTGCTTGTGATGCTGAAGATTCAAACTTTTCATATTTATCAATAGCGCTTGAAACAGTTGAAATAAGCTCCATTAAATATTGCTGGAACTTTGAGCCATCAACTGATCGTTTACGTCCATATGTTGGACTACCAGCTAAACCAGGGCCAAGAAGTGAAGTTAATCCAAAGGGATTAAAGATGAAGTAAAGAATCGAGATAACAATAACAGCACCAATCCCGAAAAGTACCAACATGGGAAGGAAAGAGACTAGAGGCGAAGCTAAAGCAGTTTGTCTTTGACCCATGTTGTAATCATTGTGAGTTGGTCCATAAGGTGATCCATTTGGTGAAGCTGAATTGGGTTGGTATTGCCAAAGGTTGGATGTTTGAGTGACTTCAGCACTGGTGGGCATTTGACACATAACATAGGTGATAGAGATGATCCAGAAAGCGATGGTACACATAACGGATTTGCTGTAACTTTCCATTTTATCGTTTGGCTTTGGGTTTGTTTACTGGTTGAGAGAAGCAAAATGCGTATAAAGACACTAAAACGTATATTTAGACTTTTGATGATTATATTTAAATGGAGTTGATGTTGATGAAATTTATACTGTTGATGATGTTATCCGAACAAGTTAAAACGATAACTGATGTTCCTTGGTCGCCGAGAAGGACGCTTTTATATGGAAACATGAAAATAGGATCTCTTTATGTAACGCTATGCAACAATAGCTTTATTTTTCATGGTTATTCTCACTCTCGCTATTTGCCACTATTTTTGATGGTTCGCTTTCACCATTTTTTGTAAACATTTACTCTTAATTTTTAATCACTACTTTACATCATCATCATAAACCATCACCATTATCAATTGTTATTTTAATTGTAGCGCTGGTAAAAGGATCGGTCAATAGGGCATATCGATAGGATTACAACAAAGACTATCGCGACTCCATCTATTGTAAGTAACAATATGATCGCTCTATTAAGTTACTATTTTTGTTAGACATTATTTCATTACTCTTTAGTCTCATTGTTATCGCTTATTTTAGTGAAAAACTGTTTCTTTAATTGTCATATTACCTAGCTAATGGAATACTGATTTAGATTTCATTGTTTAAGCTTGCAGGGAACAGTTTATATAAATGAATATATCAACTGAAGAAATGATTGAAAAAAAATCAAATCTTGAATAAAACAAAGTGTCTGATGATCAATCTTTTCTGGTCAACAACTGGTATTGCCTTTTCTTGAGCTGTGCTTTTCATCTTGCCTTGAATACACATTTATTTAACAACAATTTATAATAATTATTTTGATAGTTGTAATGAACTTCTTCAGTAATAATAATCAATCGGTTGAGTGAATCAATTTCAACCCAACTTGGCACACAACACACAAGGATCTTCTTCACCAGTAACAAGCTAATGAAAGTGATTCTCGCGATATTAATAATGAGAAACAATTAAAATACAATATTTGTTAACCTTTATCCTTGATACCTTTAATTTGATCTTCATTTCAACCTTTTGTATCCATTCAATAACCATTTCAAATATTTACATTGCTATTGATCTTCAATTGTTTTCATCAGTTTTTCATCTCACAGATTAAAAAGTAAACAATATTCATCCAGTATTTCATCGTAACCCACATGAACTTTCATTTTTAAAAGGTGACAAAAATTAATAAAGTTCAATGTTAAACATTTAATACAGTCAATACAACATTTAATGTAGTCTCAAATCGTGGATACATTGAACTAAACATTAGATTACAGAAATAATTTTAGGTACAAATTTTTTAAATCAATTGAATTTTAACCAGAAAATAAACAGCAACCATTTTATGGTTTTGTTTATTGATTTAGCAAACTGATTGGAAATTTCAAGAAATTCAATTCTCGATTCTGCTGTTTCAATTATTTGTCAATAACTGTACACCGAGAATCATTGAGATACTTTAAGAGCTTCATTATTTTACAGATTGTTCAAGAGTCTCTAAATTTCATTGTAGCGTCATGTAAACTGGCCATAATGGAGATAACTGTTGGATTATCATTTCGTTTTCGTCTTCGACGTTTCCCATTAGCGACAACAGCACCAGTTCCTAGTTGAGCTGGTTGAACAAGTCCAGGTTGAAGTGGGTAGACTGGTTGAAGTCCACCAAGACCAGATCCAAGGGATTGTTGCTGTGATTGTAAGAGTAAAATGAATGGCATAAACATTGAGATAATAAGACCGAAAAAGCCGGCAATGGTCAGGATAACCAGAAAAAGGGTAAATTCGTCTTTTTGGTGGCTAGCACCAGGCTCAAGAGGTCTGTGAGCAAAGGGTCCGTGGCGAGGTAAAACATGAAAGAGACTGGTGTGGGTCGGTAACGGGTAAGCTGGTGTTCGTCCAGGAAAAGAACCTAATTGTAATGATGAAGGGGAAGAAGAGAGGAAAGAGGATGAAGTTGGCCTCGATGGTGGAGGAGGAACTGATACTGGCGGTGGAGGTGGTGGCGGTGGCATCCAGTCTGGTAAATCATTTGCTCTGTAATCGTAGTCACCTGATCCTGTTGAGTCTTCGGGCGAAGCTGCACCACCTTCTTCATTATCAGCTAATTCCCCGTGATTAATTGTGGCAGAAGACTGAGATGACTCTACTAGTGAATGTTGAGGTGACATTTTTGATGTTGACTGAGACAAACTCTTATTATACACATTGTTTCCAATTTTACCAGGAAAATTGAACACTTTCAGGTTATTGTTGATTTGTTTATTTTTAGAGTTGTAAACATTTTTACTCAAACTAGTGTCACCATGGTTGGCGTTGTTGCCATTAGTCTGTTTTGATCTTGTAATCACAGGAATCGGCTGTTGGACAATGGCCAACGGTTCATATTGTTCACCATTAACTGAGTACACAATGAAAATACATAGCTTTACCATCCAGTTTACTGGAAGCATATTATAACGGAAAGACACTAAATTTAATTTACTAATTTAGATTGATCTAAATAGCGAAGCATTCTGTTAACCAGTAATATTGATTAAGATTGACTTATGTGAAACATTGGACATAAAACTGGTAAATCAAAGTTGATCTTCACTCAATAAAGACTTAAAATGCAATGAACATTCTGTATTCACTTTGCTTTTCTTAACCATAACAGTTACTATCCTTGTGACCCTTTTTCACCGTCTCTTTCCAGCCCGATTAAATTATTTTGTCAGCCTCAGAGGCTGATAACAATGGAAAATATTTAAACATAATTTTGACTCAATTTTATGACAATAATTTAATGTAAGATAAATGATTAAGACTACAATTTTATTGAACGCTTCGGTGACAGTTGCTTGTTTCCGATGAACACAATGAAACCTCACTATGAATGGTCTAATGGATTTTAATTTGATTAAGAGGTGCACATCATTCATCCTTTCATTTAACGCACTCTTATTGCACAATTAAATCATTTTGTATTTAAAATTCAACCGATAGCTCATTAATGGTAATAATAGTGTCACACTAGCGATTAAAATTAACATCGTCTTCAACATTTTTTAGGTGAAATTTATGTCATCGGCCCAATTTTGGTAGAGTTGCTGCTGTGAATTGAACTAGATTGTAATCTCTTTCAATTTCATCCTTAAATACCCAACATCTTCCTGTCTTTAGATCCGTATTTACAGCTAAACATTACAATAAGATTGTGGAAGGATGTTTCTCTTGTTTCACCGAAAGGTAATTAAATACAATTCAAATGTTTCGATAGAGAATTTATTTTGTAAATGTTTTTGAGTAAAAGGTTTTCAATTTAAACAAGGTAACTAGCTAACAAAGAATCAACAAAAAAGATTAATGATAACATGTATCAATTTGAATAATGGCAATAATTAAAGTAATAATAATGTGGTGTTTGCAATAATGGGCTGAAAATGAGATCAAGTGTAGAGATGGAATGCTTTTGAGATCAATAAATATTACAATGAAATATAGCTTCCTTGCTCCAACACATTTCAAGTAATTGGGTTTTCCGTGAAATTCAAATGTTGAAACAGTTTTGCCTGCTTGAACCCGAAGACAGATTTCACTTGATTTGCAATGATTTAGTTGACAATTACACTGGCAGCAGTCTTAATATTTCCTCCTTTTGTTATTGGTAAATGAAAACGGCTAGAAATTACTGGTCTTACGTCGTCTTTCTGTAAATATAAAGATATAAATATGGTTAATTTAGTCTGAAATGTTGAAATAAACTGATACTCACTGATTCAACAAGTTGCTTTAGGAATGGCAGTAAATTTAAAAGCTCGCAGTCACTTTTATCGTCAAACCAACTCTTGATTGGGATACCATTTTCAAGCTGAAAGGTAAAAGGTAGAAGATGAGTTATGATTGAATCACTGGAAATGTTATTGATTGAAATACCAACCTGATAGCCAAATGCTTGGAGCGAGTTGTCAATAATTATAGTTTTGGATAGATCGCGGCGAAGTATGTTCAGATCTTTAATATAATTGCCACTAATACAGATACAGTGTTCACGGAAAAGACGATGCCTGTTGATTAAGAGGGTAAAATGAGAATTAAGTTGAGTGGAAAATTGAAGATGAATGGAAATAATTTACCTTATATACTTTCTCTCAGGATCTAAAATATTTACAAGTTTGTCTGCATAAACTCGCTTAGAAGCGGTAAATAAAATGACTTCGAAAATTTTGGAAACTTGTTCAAGGAACTGACGAAAATGAGGCCTGGTTCGAACGTACACTTTGTATTCATTGTCTTGGAAGTTAACTGGAAAGGTGAAACAAGCGTCATTTAATTCAGTTAAACTACAATGGACCAAAGTTTCGTCAAGATCAAGAACCAAGCTGAACTCGGGTGCACTCCGAGTTTTCAATGGCAAAGCAGGGTAACGACAAATCATCTCGGGTGTCAATGGAGGTAAACTTTTAATAAACTGATATGGATCCATGTCTTCATAATCAACAACCAAATTATCTTCAATAATTTCATCTGTTTCATCTGTTGCATCGGTTGCCCCTTCATCTTCCTCAATGCTTTCTGATCCATGATGATCAAAATTCTCGTTACTTTCTTTATCCGATGATGAGGTTGAAGCTGAAGATGTTGAAGAAACGCTTGTAATCAAATCAATTCGGTTCAACTTTGAGCTCTCATTGCTTATATCAGCTTCTTGATTAACTTTTGCCTGGTCTTGATTTCCATTATTATTTAACCAATCATCAGAGTCAAACTTGATTCGTTGCGTTAAGAATGTTGAGCTTGTAATAGGGTCTGATGATTCACTTGCTTTACATGATGGTTCTATAAGAAAAATGAAAAAAACGAAATGATTAAATTAAAAAAGTCTTAAAAATTTTCATTCACAATTTGTCAGGTATAAAATATAATAAATAATTCTTCAACAGCTCAATACAAAGTGGAATAGATAACAAAACGTCAACAGTTTAAGCAGCTGTTAATTTGACCGGTAATTAATTTAAACAATTTTTTGCTAAGCTATTAAACTTAAAATTTAAACTAATGATCACCAAACGGCAAAAAAAGACATCAAATTGAACAATGTAAGATAGTCTTGTAGATTTTAATAAATAATGCTCAAAATTCAATCAATAAGAATTGTAAGTTCTTGTATTTCTAGCAGTTGTTCAATTCATTGAAAATTGCGCTCAAATTATTTTGAATTGAGATTCTGATTTCTAATGAATCTTGAGCTTAAAAAGCTATCTTAAAGCGGAATCACAGTTAAATTTTAAGTTCAAATTGAGGAGAAACCATAAATAAAAAGATTTACTCAGAGCAATCTTAGGGTTTCTATACGAAATTTTTTTCCGGCAATAATATGTTTATGGGCATTTTTTTGCTTTTTAAATTCCAAAACCTATTTCGAATGTATTTGGTCTTGGTTTAGATCAGATTGTGACTACATGAAGGTATTGACAAAAATAGAAAATAGATTTTTTGGTTCGAATAACGATGTCTCTTAATTTCAAATTATGTTCCTGAAAATTGTACTGATAGTAATTTGAGGGGAAATTAATATTTAATTTTGCTTACCATCAGAATTGTTGCTTCCATTAATATTACAAATTTTATCGGCATTGATTTTCGAGTCCAAATATCGACGACGCTTCACTGAACTCTTCGAAGAGGTATTTTTGTTTGGCATATACATATTGACTTCTCGTTGATCAATCCAAATATTGACTACGTCCAACATTATGATGATAAATGGTAAAGAAATCAAGTCAATAAAAAACACTGTCAACAATAGCTGAATACAATTCAATAACAGTGAAAAATAACCAATTTCATAGGTACAGCGTTAAACCTAAACAAACAAAAGCTAAAACAACAACCATGGAATAAAAAGAACACAAAAGGAATCCGTCATTTTTGGGTAAAAAGAGTTGAGATTTCATGTTATGTTGTTCAATTTTAAATGTTAATATTGGCACATTATTAAAAACAACAATTTTAATTAATGAGAGGGAAAAGAGCTGATTAACAAGAAAACCATTCAATGTTTAGCTCGTTCACAAATAAACAATTCAAAAGATGAGCAGGAATGCAAGAGCTGTCCGCGAAGCTTAGCCTGTTTCTCTGTCTATTTTGTTGTTTACTACTGAAGCAACTATTATTTACAGGAGTGGAATAAGATCGCAGAATAAATGAATTCATTGGTGAATATTGTTTGCATTAGCTCTTCTTTTACCTTTAATTAAATAGATTGAATCGATAAACTATACATTTAGTCATTTAATAAATTTAATAGTTTTCTGTGTTTATCTTTCATTTATTTGACAATTACATGTGTTAATCATAACAATCACCACTGAATATTTTTATCCAAAAAATACGAATATACAATTTTATAATTATAATGGATAATAGACCAATAGAAGATTTTAAAATTATAAAAATAACGAAATTCAATTTGATTTCTCTTTGATTGCTCTGGGTAAAATGCCCATTATTTTACAAACTATTCCAAGCATAATTTCATCAGCTCCTCCAGCTATTGAGATAACTCGTGTGTCTCGGTAAAATCTGCTAATCAACATTTCTTCAGAATAACCCATTCCTAACCCATTCCTCCCCAGAATTGTAAGCAACCATCAACGACTTCTCTCAACATTCGGCCTCCTTTGAGCTTGATTATTGATGCCAAATAGGTTATGTCTTCACCTTCAATCATTTTATCTGTTGAATGTAGATTAAGGAGAAAGAGAGAATAAAAAGATTTATTAGACTCAACGTGATATTCTGTAACACTAATTCATACAAGTCACAGATTAACAGGTACTTTCATGCAACTTACCTGCAGCAAGATATGTTAAGGCTCGAACGGCTTCTACTTCACACTGTAATTCAGCCAATTTAAAATGAATGTGTTGGTTGTTTATCAAGGGTTGTCCAAATGTTTTTCGCTGTTTACAATATTCGATGGTATCTTGGATTGCTCTTTGGGCAGAAGCCGTAGCTGTGGACAGATTAAGAAAATAAACAAATTGTTAAAATTGATGCAATCTATAAGGGATCTATCAAAAAGTAAATTAAACAGTTTCGAAAGATGGAAAGTTACTAACATGTTGATCCAACGACCAGTCGTTCATCACCAAATTGAAGCATTTGATATATAAAACCCATTCCTTCCTCTCCGATGATATTTTTAACGGGCACTCGAACATTATCAAAGAAAATTTGAGCAGTATCAGATGATAAATTACCCATTTTGGGTATTTTACGTGCTTTATGGACACCAGGAAGATTTAACGGAACGCAAATCAATGATTTGTTTTTATGAGGAGAATCTTGTCTTGTATTAGCCAAAAGACACATCCAGTCAGCTTGATAACCATTTGTAATCCACATTTTACCTCCATTGATAATCAAATCATCACCTTCACGCTTGGCAGTAGTCCGAATAGCTAAAATAGAACCAAATAACGATTATTTATCCCATTGATAACAACAAATCTATGTTTATAAAGTGACCTCAGTGATGTCTCTGCATTGGTTATCATACATACCGGCAACATCAGAACCTCCCTCTGGTTCGCTTATACCAACACAAGCAACATAATCACCAGCAATTGTTGGAGCTAAAAATTCTGCCTTTAATTCATCAGTACCAAACCTAGCTAAACCTGGTGTTGCCATGTCAGCTTGAACACCGATTCCGGTTAATGGTCCTGCAGCATTAATGTGATATCCGAATTCTTCATACATGGCAACTGTAAAGGAGTAATCTAGTCCTTGGCCTCCATATTTGGGATCTCGAGTCAAACCAAGTAAACCCGCTGAGCCTAAGGTTTTAAAAAGTTTGTGTCCATCAAACATTCCTTCCTTTTCCCATTGATCCACAAATGGATTGATATCTTTCTCTACAATCTAAAAATAAACTGTTTTAATCTTTGTATTTTTACGGATAAAGTTTCTTTTACCTTCCGAACGGTGCTTCGTAATTCATCATGTTGTTCAGTGAATTGCAACATTCGAGTTGAAGAAACAGACAAATAACGTCTGGAAATACATTGGACTAACTTTCTCGAAGCCAACATTTTGTTATTATCACCAGGTTAAGATCGCAGTTAATATCTGTAATCATAAAACAAAATCAATCAACGATTAGAATCCAATATTAATTAGATTTAAACAAAATGGATTTAAACTTGGCGCTTTGAAAACAGGAACAAAATATCAAAAAAATATCAACAGATAACCTAGATGAGCCAATTGTAAAATGGCCATTGATGCATTTTATAAATCAGCCTGAATTTAACATATTTATCACCAAGAAATCAACTTGTGACAGAAAAGATGAAACTTGCAGTTATTGGACATATAGCAGGATTAACATGGGATAAAGTCTGATGTTATGGGCCATAACTTATGCTACTTACCTAAATTTAGTTTTGAGCTCTAAATTTTAAGAACGATTGAAACAATTTAATTTATTGTTATTTGTCCAACAAACTTATCAATGAGGAAAAGAGTGAAGCGATCAAAATCGAACTAATATTTAGTTATTTGGCACAAGATGAAACTTAGAATGAACAGTTGAATAAAGTACAGAGTATTGGAGGCTCAACTCATTCTACTAACTGAAATACTGAAAGTATTAGTGCAAGTTAAGTAGATCTTGATAAACAGCTAATAATGATGACACTTGATGATATATTTCTAGTGATTGGAATTATCTGATAACAGTTGTAGTTACATGATGAAGTTAATCTGAATAAAATTACTAATTTCAATTTACTGAGTGAGGCTCACTCAGTAAACTCATAACATACAAATGGTTAGAAAGATATTAAAAAAAGCGGGTAAATTAAAGTTGTAAACACGTTGATCTGAAATCAGCAATCTAAGGAATCGAATACATATTTAATTATAAAAAGGATTTATTATTTGAACCAACAATAACTAGATTCAAGATATTTTGTTGGTTTCTCACTTAATCAACTTGAAACAATTCAACTTGATTTTTCTAGCTCAAACATTGCTAAAGTAGATAATAAATCTTATAAGCAATCTTATTTGTCCTAATTGTTAATATAAACCGCAAGACTAATCCAATGAGCTATACATGTAAGGCTTTTTTTAGCATGAGAAATCGATTTAGCGTTACATGTAAGATTTTCAGGTAATTTAAATTTTATTGTCAGATACATTAAATGTATTAGAATCTATCGCTTTATTCACTTCAGTTGGATCATCATTATTCTGATTCTTCTTGTCTGTCCAGCCAAATCTAAATGCATATTATTTCGATTTCTTGAATCGAAACTGAACGATTGAGCTGGCGATGCTTTTCAAGAGGAACGATAGTAATTATGTAGAAGCTAAAATTAGGATGATTTGATAAAGATAATTTTTCTTCAAGCAACTTGAATACAGCTTCTGACCAGTTGACGTTAGCTAACCGATGATCTTAGAAGTCAAAGTTGATGGAGCTCTCGCTATCGGCGGATTCCCAATAATTTTTGGAATTCAATTTCAGGTGAACGAAAAAAATCTACCGCAAAATTTTGATCGCTATTTCCAGACTGATTTATCCAAGCTGAGTGTAAGTCTGAATTGATTGCTAGTCAATTAGATACCATTAAAATATTCAATTCAGCCCAATATCTTCGTTAGACTGGAAAATGATGAAATTCAAAGTCAATAAATGACATTTTGAATGATTTTGAATTTACTATAATGAAAGGTAATTCTGATGGGTAGGTGAAGAAGAAAAAGATTGCAGAAGTTGATGAATAATAACTTACTACAGTTGATATATCATAACATAGTCAATTACTTCAACTATTGTTACATTTTTTCGCCAATATTGGGTAGCACCTAAGATAGAAAAGAAAACAAAAACATTAATGAATAAAAATAATGTACAAAAGATCTTAATTACTGGGTAAGTCAAATTACTTACTGTTTTGCTATTTAATCGACTGTGAAAGTCAATAAGATTTTCTCTCTAATAACGTCACCTAAATGATTATTTGATGATAAAGAGATCGAAAAATCCATCTAATCCAACCCTGATTACCATCAAACCCATTTGGAAGGCCATTAATCGTACATCAGATGAAAAAAGTGATCACAATGAATCAACATGGCAACGTTTAGTAGTCATCACCAAGTAAGAGAAACAAAGATTTTTAAAAGATTCCAAGGGTCCAAAACCGTAAACAAATGTAAGATAAATTTACATATTTAAGTGAAATCATTACAAGATAGTTACCAATTAAAATCAATTGACAAAACAAAAGATCAATGAGTAATGACAAGATTAACAATACCGGCTGTTTCTAGTAAATAACGTTAAACGTTGTATAAAAAATTCAAATTAACAGCACAGAGAGAAAAAAATTTATTTTCCGGTTCCGGTTCTAAGAGGGCAGCACTTATTCCTCTTCATTATCTAACCGAAAAGCTGTAAAGTCCTTACATTCAAGGCAAATAAAAAGTAATTTGTTTCATTCCTTTGGTACTTTCTCATCTATTGTGATTAATATACAATTTTATTTTTTGCCACCTATAAAATTCTCTTAATTATTATCGTAATCACCTTAGACACCTCGACATCTATTGATAAACACTCAACAACCGTTTCTTTCTAACCCTCGTAGATTGAATTCACACATTATATACCCTCTTGTATTTTCTTTTCTCGGTAAAATTAGTTAATCCGATATATTTAATACCTAAAATGCAGGGAGCAGCGGCTGCACAAGGTGATGGTATTCCTACTTTCAAATGTATTCTGGTAGGTGATGGTGGTACCGGGAAGACCACCTTTGTTAAAAGACATCTTACTGGTGAATTTGAGAAAAAATATGTCGGTAAGTTGATACTCAGATCTTGGGTTTAACTGTTCTCTTCCTTCTGTTTAATCCTTGAACCTACACTTCTAGATTTTCTGGGGCTACTTGACATTGGTTGTCCCCCGGATTTTATGAGGTCATACGGAACCTGAGGTGGATGTCAAATGTGAGAAAGGAAAAAAATGGTGAAAAAGGGTTGTGCCTGAGATTCAAAGATGCAATGTGCTTTAACTTGTTTCATTTTTATCTTTCTATCCTTTCTCTTCTTTCTCTGTGTCTTCTCTCTTTACTTTCTCTATCTCTTTCTTTCTCTCTCTCTCCGCATTACCCATAGTATTTCTACGTTTTACCTTGCTTTCTTTTATGTTTGATTCTAATTATTTCTCTTTTGTCTGATTTTTCTTGCAGCAACTCTTGGTGTTGAGGTTCACCCTCTTACCTTCGACACAAACCGAGGTAGAATAAGATTTAATGTCTGGGATACTGCTGGTCAAGAAAAATTCGGTGGTCTCAGGGATGGTTATTATATTCAAGGTAAATGCACTTTGAACATGTGGCTTTCTGTCATTAATATAATCCTTATGGAGAGATTTTGGCATTCTAGATTAACTGTTATATTTTTTTCGTTTTAGGTGATTGCGCCATTTTAATGTTCGATGTAACCTCGCGTATAACATACAAGAATATCCCCAACTGGTATCGAGATTTAACCAGAGTATGCGAAAATATTCCTATGGTACTTTGTGGTAACAAAGTTGATATTAAAGATAGAAAGGTCAAAGCTAAATCAATCACTTTCCACCGAAAAAAGAATTTACAGGTTAGTTATTCGAAAATGTTGCTGTTAAATGTTGCAAATTATGGTTTCTTATTGTGCTGAGACATGCAAATTCCAGTGTTTTTTCAGATCTTGACAAAACAACTCTGAATCAACACATTTGCATCATTTCACAATGCAACTCTCTAGATCCTTCTATGGATTTCCAGTCACGAGTTTATTTGATGACTAAATTTTTAAATCTTTTTTTTATTCAACAGTACTACGATATTAGTGCTAAATCTAATTATAATTTTGAGAAACCATTCCTTTGGTTGGCCCGAAAATTGATCGGAGATCCTAATCTTGAATTCGTTGCCATGCCGGCTCTTGCTCCTCCTGAGGTTACCATGGATCCTGAATGGCAAGCCAAACTTGAGAACGAGATGGAAGAAGCCAAGAAAATCAGTTTGCCCGATGACGATGACGAGGATCTTTAAGAAACTAATAAATTTTAAAGCGAAATTAGCATTGATGTTCACTATTGGAGTTGTTAATGCAGATTTAACAGTACTCGGCAAATACGGAATTATTTTTAAGCTGCAGTTTTCTCTCTAAACTCGTCTTTTTCTTGTGTCTCTTAATTACTACACTTCGAGAGGTGGTTCAACCCAAATCACGAGCAATTTTTTAGGGACGATATCTAAATTCTTGAAGTAAAAACCTAACATCAGTCAATTGAATCCATTTTCGTGTCTAATCTGTTTTCTCCGCTCCAAGCTTCAATATCACATCAACTTTTTTGAATAAGATTCTCATAAACCTACAAAAAAACAAAAAGGCCGTTATCGTAGTCTCAACAACAAGCTAAAATCACTATAATCATCATGTTTCAATTGATACAATGTAAAATCCTTTTTTCACTTCCCTTAAACCCAATCTAATAAACAGTTCCATCTGTTTGATTGTCATTTACTCTTCTACTCATAGATTCATTTTTCAAATATTCAAACTTTCAAATCAGTTTTCGAAGCAAATATTTAAAGACTTTATAATTGTCATTCACTATCCATCTCCAACGTATGATTTACCATATAAATTCAAATTATTGTTTTCAACCGTCAAGGATTAAGATCAAGAAAACCACCTTAGGACATTTTATTGTGAAGGCTTAATCCACAACTTTAATCCATTGCCCTCGTCCAAACTATAAGTTAATAGGTTTAATAGGTTAAAATATCCTAGAATCACCTTCAATCAATAAGTTTAGCCCAATAAGCAAGTGTCAAGACAATATCAAAAATTCTCAAACTGAAACCGGTTGTATTAATAAACTTGTTTCAGATCTTCTTTACTCTTTCCTTTTTCTTTCTTTTCACCTCTCATCATCTTCCCTTTCTCTCCTTCTTTCTTTTTTCTTTCTCTCACTTATTTCTCTCCGAGGCATGAAAAAACTTCAAATCTTGCGGAAGTAAATCAGAAAGTTTTCCTCTTTAACCGACCCCACAAAACTTCCCAAAATTCACTTGAACATCATCTAAATATATTAATACTTTAACCTCCTCATCTCTTTCTTTCTCTCTCTCTCTCTTCTCTTCTCTTTCTTTTCTCTTTCTATCCGTCGAATCTCACTCTCTCAACTAATCTCTCTCTCCCTCTCTCTCATTTCTGCTCCCTTTGCCACTTTGGCGTCTTTCTAAATCTGGAATCATTTTAATTTGTTTCTCATCTTTACCTGTTCAGTGATCATCAATATCATCACCATTATTGTATTTGTATAATTATTCCAATTGTTTTTGCAACTTATTCTTCTACTGATCAATTCTTTTTCCATGTTCACTTCATCTCTTTTGTGTTCTTCTTCTTCTCTGCTCATCAGCTATTAATTTTATTCATGTTTAGTGAAACAATTACATTGAATCAGTGATTAATCAGTCAATGGCGTTTTTCCGTCAACTTCAACTTTTACTTCGACACCGCCTCATACTTCGGCGAAGACAAATTTTCATCTTAGGGCTTGAAGTTTTCTGGCCCGCAATAGTCTTCTTCACTGTTCTCATATTTAGACTTAAATTCCCTCCAGAATCTAGTGATACATGTTTCTATCATGCCAAGGGATTACCAAGTGTTGGCGGAGTAAATTTTTTTCAATCATTAATTTGTACAATTGATAATCCATGTTTGAATGAAACAAGTTACTCTCAAGTTCCAACCTTTCAAGGATCCAAAATCCATGGATTGGTTGAGAGCTTGTCCCCCCTTGTAACGGACACTTCAATTACTGAAATTGTCCACAATTTACCTTCCGGAATTCAACTTTTAACCTCACTGGTGGACACTTTATCTGATAATGTGACTGATAATTTTGTCCAATTGTTTGGTGATGAGAGAATGTTGAAAAAAGCTGGATTATTACGACCCTCAGTACCAGAAAGTATAGCAAGTTTACGTGCAGCAGCGACAGCCATGCCATTTGTCATGAATTTCATCAATAATTTCAGCGTTTCTTTAAATCTTCACGAAGACATGAATCAACTTGATCTCAAAAAAGACGGCATTGATCTTATAGCATCTTTTGATCCTTCGGCGTTTGGAAAAATAATGTGCGGCCAAACTCCACGTATTTTCATTGATGACTTCAATAAACTTGAAGGACCTGAATCTAATTCACTTGATGAAGCTGAACTAGCATCTCTTAAAAGTGACTTTTGCCGTGATGGCTATCGACACATAATGAAACACCCAAGTGGACCAGTGATTTGGGCCTGGTTAAAGCCAGTGTTAGCAGGTAAGATACTCTATGCCCCAGACAACCCCTCAACTCGTGCCATTATATCCCAAATGAATAAAACATTCAGTGGGATGCCTGTTTGGATAAATGCATTGGAAGACTGGTCAGCCACATTAAAGTCACTTGAAATGTTTTACCAGCAACCAGGAATACAAGAGCGTCTCGTCTTGGCTCAACCTTTACTTGTTAAAATATTGGGTGACGAAGTACAGAGTTTTTTCGCCGATTTCACTACTCAACAACAGTTTACTGAATTGCTCAACACCGGTGGAATAGTTAAACTAGTTCAACTGATAACCAACATAGCTCAGTGTTTTGAGCATGAACGCTTCATTGGCTTACCCGATGAACCAGCTTTAGAGGCAGCGGCTCGTGTTTACACTGCAACCCATGAATTGATTGCAGGAGTCGTTTTCCTTAATGTCAACAATACCAACTCTTCGGATGGTTCAGTTTTACTTCCAAAAAAGATTGCCTACAAAATACGGGCCGATATTGATTTTGTGCCAACAACTAAAGTTCTTAAAGATCGTATCTGGGAACCCGGTTCAAGAGATCATTATTCCAAACATTTAGGTTATTTCCGTGGGTTTGTCCAAGTCCAGGAAATGATTGATCGAGCCATTACATCAATCCATATCAATTCAAGTGACCTGACCTTTGCTCCATCAGTATCATTACAACAATTTCCCTATTCATGTTACAAGAAAGATAAATTTGGCTTCTTCATTCTCGCTTTGACCCCTGTCATTTCAACTGTCGCTTGGATATTTTTAATTGCTTTCCTTATCCGTGATCTTGTTCTCGAGCGTGAACTCAATTTAGAAGAGTATCTCCGAGTAACAGGTCTAAAAGCATCCGTAGCCTGGGTAACCTGGTTTCTATTGGGATTTTCCGTCATGATATTTGGTTCTGTTTGTAGTTTAACAATCTACAAAATGGCCAATCTGGTTCCTCATTCAAATATGTTTATTCTGTATCTATACTTTATCGCCTTCAGTTTTTCAATCATCATGTTCTGCTATCTGATAAGCTGCTTTTTCCGAACCGCAACAATCGCATCGCTTTCAGGCATCGTCGTCTACCTGGCTACCTATCTTCCCTTTATGGTTGCCATAACGCTTGAAAATGAAATGCCGTATTTAAATAAACTTGGCTCATGTTTGAGTATGTCAACATCCTTTTGCTTTGGAATCATGTATTTAGCTCGATATGAAGCACAAGGAATAGGCATTCATTGGTCCAATGTGTGGCAAAGTCCAATGTCGGAAGATACCATGAATTTCGCTTCTGCTGGTTTAATGATGATTTTTGATGGATGCATCTATTTCTTGATAGCTTGGTACATCTCGAATGTCAATCCACCAGGAAGAAATGGTCAACGTCAACCTTGGTACTTCTTTGTTCTGCCTAGTTATTGGGGTTTAGTTCCTAAACGATCTCAATCTCGTGTTTTAACTCCAAAAATTCAGGCGCATATTCATTCTTCTGGCGATCACAAAATGTACTCTTTAGAAAAGGGTTGGCACCAAAAGGCTGGCATGTCATTGCACAATTTATATGTGGTTTACAACAAAGGTTCAGCTCGCTCTGAACATCGAGCAGTTTCCAATCTAAGTTTGCAGCTTAAAGAAGGTCAGATTACAACTCTACTTGGTCGCAATGGTGCTGGTAAAACGACAACAATTAGTGTTCTCACTGGACAAATCCGACCAACGTCTGGCTCTGTTTTTGTTTACGGTCATCCAGTTCCTGATGAATTTGATGAAGCACGTAAATTGCTTGGTTATTGTCCACAATATAATGTATTATTTGACAATCTCACCATTCGAGAGCATTTGAAATTTTTCGCTAGCTTGAAAGGTCTTCTTCCTGACGATCAAATTGAAGATGATATCGATTCAATGCTTCATTCAACTGGTCTATGGAACATGCAACATGAATTGGCTCGTAATCTATCTGGTGGCTTGGCCCGTCGTCTTTGTGTTGCTCTGGCTTTTGTTGGTGGATCCAAGTTGATTATTCTTGATGAGCCAACATCAAGTGTAGATCCTGTCGCCCGTCGCTCAATTTGGGATTTAATTGTTAAACACAAAGCTAGTCGAACAGTTCTATTGACAACTCATCATCTGGATGAAGCTGATATTTTAAGTGATCAAGTGTCGGTTATACATCGAGGTAAACTTCTTTGTTCAGGATCACCTTTACTTTTGCGGTCAAAATATGGATGTGGTTATCAGTTGACAGTTTCTCGTCAATGTGTCAGATCAGATGAAAAAGAGTTTAAAGATGAAGATTCAGGCCGTGCTTCTTGTGAACCACCCCATGGTCATGATATGTTAACAAGTGACTCCGATCGATTGATTGCCTTCATCAAGTGTCTTATTCCCAATGCAACTTTAGTTGAAGATCACAGTGCTAATGAAGTGATCCTTGCTCTTCCAAGAACAGGTCCAGACGGCAGTGTTCACGATTATGCTACATTTTTCCGCTGTTTAGATGCCAACATACACACATTGGGTTTCGGTTCCTATGGTTTAAGCTCAACTACTCTAGAAGAAGTGTTTTTAACCTTGTGCAACTCAGAGGAAAGTGGTATTCCTATCCAAGAATCCAACAAATTAGCTTTATCTCGTAAGCTTAGTAATCAAGCTCAAGTGCCCAAATCGATACCACAAAGTGATCCACTGATGACCGAAGCCGGACTTAGTTTACATCTTGATTCATCTTTCAATGGATACAATATGCCATCAGCCATGTTAGTTAGCGGTTTCCGTCTTAAAATGCTCCAGCTTTGGGCACTTCTTTCAAAACGAGCTCTTCACACAATCAACGACTGGAAATCATTATTTTGTAATCTCGCCTTGCCGTGTATCTTCATCGCTTTAGCCATGGGAATGACTTGTATCAAGCCTCAATTTGCTCCCGACCCAATATTGCCAATTCATCCCGCAGTGTATGGACCTTCGACAACTTCATTTTTCCATTTACCGGACGTTTCCATAGGTTCTGATGACATGTTTGACCAAATTGTTCAAAATTTGTTACATTCACGGACACGTCGCTCTTTCACTTGTCCTAAACCAAGAGACGGTTGGAAGGTTGCCAAATGTCCAGTTATCCGTGGTAAGCCTTTACTGCCAGCATCTCTAACTGGTGTCATTACATCTAAAGATGAAATTTGTAAATGTAATTCAACGTGTCCATCAAAATCAGCGTCAATTGTTTATGATACAATTGAAAGGCCAGTTGAAACGGAATATGGTTTTATTTACAATTTGACTTCATTAAGTGAACTCTCTTCCCAATCATCCAAACCAGTTGAACATTTCCTCATGAATACTTTTCCGTCTTTCAATGATTTCCGTTATGGTGGTTTCACATTCCATTATCACGAAAAACAAGTCAACTTAAACTCATACCCAATGCCCACCAAAATTGAACCAATGGTCAAAGTTTGGTTCGATAATAATGGTTACCATGCCTTAGCTGCTTACCTCAATGCATTAGATAATGCGATATTGCGTGCCAATTTAGATGTTCACGGTTTACCTTCGGAAGAATACTCGATCACTGTTTATTCACATCCCTTCCATATACGATCCGCTCAATTAGGTGATCAATCATTGATGCAACGTGCAGGTGATGCTGGAATCGCTTTAATTATTCTTGTTGGATTCGTCTTCATTCCATGTTCCTTTGTTTTCTACATTGTTCGTGAGCGAACCCAAGAAGAGAAACAGTTACAAAAATTTTCGGCATCGGGC